GAACGTTTAAATGCACTCACACACACACCGAATTCGCCAAACCCACTAAGTGCCAAGAACCAGTAGAAATTCGTGACTCTCTTCCAGCCGACGCAGGCAATCATTCAGACCCAAATCAATCCTAGCTGATGACCATGTACCCAAGAAAAAGTGTCCTCTAGAAATCACGCACGATGTGTCCGACGCATCAGCTCAAGCTCTTGATTAGCATATTAATAAAGTAGAACAAAGAGTGGATCTCGGATTCACACGAATCGCATGAACGATTTGCTCGTCTAGAACAGGTTATTACTGAACCTAACGACTAAAATTTTCGCCCCCGAGACCCCTCCATTACTCTCTCCCACCTAATGATGGCTTCTCGCCCCTCAATAAGCCCTAATTCCCCCAACCATTCAGAGTTTGGCAATGGAATTGTAGAGGCCTACAGCACGAAAAGGATAACTTATTCCTCCACCTGCAGAAGGCGATGCCAGTGCCAGATGTCATTGTCGTACAGGAACCAAACAAACAATGCAATTTAACAGGCTATCGCGTTATACAGCCGCAAACTTCTCCCACCCTATGGGTCACCACTTATGTTCATCGTAACATTGCACATGTTACCCTTGACCTCACCGATATATATTCTGACCGTCTTCCTTGAGCTCCTGCCACGCAATTCTAAATCTTCCACTTTATTTATATTAAATATCTTCAGCCCCACCCGTGAAAAAGCAGCTGACCTGCTGCGCAGCGCTCGCAGGGCCCTCTCTATCGCAGGCACTATGCGTATAGCCATAGTAGGGGATTTTAATGCCTCGCATGTTGAATGGGGATTTAGGGCCCCTTCCGTTAAAGGACGACAACTCTGCAACTTCATAAAACACACCGGCTGTCCATTGCGACGAATACCATGCAAGCTACTCGAATAGAAAACAGTGTTAGCAGAGACACGTGCCCAGATTTAACGCTTGTTAAGAACATCACTCAGCTACAATGGGAGAACACTGGCCTCACCCTAGGCAGTGATCACTATATAATTGACGTCAAGCTTCAGCCCGGTAATCTGAGACCGCAGTACTAGCTCGAAGCTATTGTACACTGGGATCAATTTAGAAAATTTTCTGCGCTGAAACAGGCCACCTCTATTTCAGACTATGATACATGGGTCGCAGTGCTACAAAAAGATGTGGAATCAGCAACTAAACAAGCACCAACTGAGCACGCAAATGAGCCGGTCGATAGCAGTTTGATGCACTTATGAGAGGCTTACCAGAGTATGGAAAGACGCTGGCTTAGGCAAAAGCAAAACTGCAGATTGCGGCGTCACATGTCGATGACTCTCGACCTCATCACAGAGCACGCCAATAATCTTGTCTCTCAACAATGGACGCAGTTATGCAATCGACTCAATGGAAGCCTTCACTTTAAGACAACTTGGTCTTTTCCTACGTAACTTATTAGAACCTTCAATATCGAAGGCTGAAACTAGCAAAATTTATAACACGACTAATTCACCTAACGAAGAAGCACGGACAGGACATAGTGCAAACCCTCATTCAAACCTACTTTCTGCAGCATGCGACCGAGTCAATGTCGGAATATGGGGGCCTTCCCAACCAAGATTTAGGCCGTCCCATAACGGAGCCACAGGTTTGCGCTGCATTACATCAGCTGCGCCCACCTCAGCTCCAGGACCTGACCATGTCACCAATAAATCGCTACGCAACCTGGACGCAGGCTCAATTAAGGTTCTCACTGAGTATTTTAACCAGCACTGGGAACAAGGCACACTGCCTTCCCAGTGGAAACATGCCAAGGTGACATTCATCACAAAGCCAGGCAAACCACTCGACCTAGCTAACTTGCGCACTATATCCTCACTTCATGTGCAGGCAAACTTATGGAGCACGTCATCCTCAATCGCCTTAATAGATTCATAGAGACAAATCACCTCTTCCCTCCTACTATGTTTGGATTCAGGGCAGGGCTTTCCACCCAAGATGTGATGCTCAAGCTCAAAGAGGAGGTACTAAATAGCAACTTCCCACATCTTACAAAAGCAATATTGGCACTTGACTTGACTAAAGCACTCGACAATGTCTGACATGCGGCTATTCTAAAGAACCTCAGTGCGCTCAACGTGGGTTCCCACACTTACAAATATGTTGCAGCCTTTTTAACGAACAGAACCGTCGAGATACACTTAGGATCGGTTAAATCTCCGACCTTCATCCCTCGGAAGTAGGGGCACTCCGCAAGGGGCCGTCCTCTCTTCCTTTCCTCTATAATATAACTCTGATCACCCTCGCGCAAAAATTAGCTACCATACCGGCTCTACAACACTCACTGTACGCCGATAACATATCACTTTGGACCACCACGGGCAACTGTGGCACAATCGAACACACCCAATAGAGAGCAGCACTAACGTACAAGAATATGCACGGAGCATTGGACTCAGCTGCTCAGCTCCTAAATCTGACCTCCTCCTCATTCGTCCCAGGGACCCTTTCCCTCCAGAAATATTCGTATATTTGGCTGATCAAATCATCCCACAGGTAAACAATATCGAAGTTCTAGGCCTCCACATCTCCAATAACAGCTCCAATTTTATAGCCATAGGTACTATACGGCGCTCGGTGCAGAATATATCCGCCCTATTAAAAGAGGATTTCTAATCGTCACAGAGGCATGCGCGAAGCGGACACACACCGCCTTGTCCAAGCATTCTGCCTGTGTAAAATTACTTATTCCCTCTCTTAGCTTTCTCTTTCATCTCTAGAGAGGGATCAGATAGATCGCCCCATTCGTACAGCATATAAAACTGCTCTGCACCTGTCTAAAGGTACCGCTACGAGCAATCTTCTCCAGTTGGGGGCGCATAACACAATAGATGAACTAATCGAAGCGCACCTCATCAGCTACTATGCCCGACTTTTGCAATCCGAAACAGGAAGGCTGCTCCTTCAGCACCTCCAGATCAACCTCACAGGATGCACCACCACCACAAAATCATTCCCCGAACACATTAGCGACAGTCTCTTGATACCGCCATCGCCAAAAAATACCCACCTCATCCATAATCACGACCGGCGGATAGCCAGAGCTAGATCCCTTCATAAGCGCTACGTATCTTCGACTCCAGTCGCTTATGTCGATGCCGCAGAATACTCCCATCGTCCTGCCTTTGCGGTGGCAGTATTAGACGATGCCCAGAAATTACTTTGTAGGGTTACCTTCAACTGAGTGGCTCAACCAATCGAGGCGCAATTGCTCACACCCAGCCGGAGTAAGTATATCTTCTCAGACTCAAAAGCGGCCATTCATAATTTTGCTACGCGTCGAATTCATGCACCTGCACACCGTATCCTACGACTCCTCCTTCCCCCTCAACGAATAATCAGCATTTTGTGGGTTCTCGCGCATTGTGGCCATCCTGGGAATACAGCGGTCCATGAGCAAGCCCGAGCACTAGTCAACCGGGCAGTGGACGGTCTACCTTCCTTTTGCAGTGCGCGAGAGTGTCTATTCACCTACCATGAGATTACTTTACATTACCGCAATTACCGCATGATTACCCACCAGGCCATAAACCACTGTCCCAGACTGAGCAAATCGTTTAGTGCCGACTCCAAACTTGCACCTTGATTTCCCCCTTCATACATTCTAAAATTCACCCGCATGACACCTTACCTCAATGTCGCCTCTGCTCGATTCCCCGAGCAGACTTTCATCATACATATAGAACTTGTCCAAACAAGCCTAATCCCCCCTTTGCGGGGGCTGAGCGACAGGAGCGATGGGAGGCTGTTCTGCGCAGCTCACGACCAGACGACCAACTCACGATTGTACGCTGGCCCATAGGGGTTGCCGAAGCGCACGGACTTTCAGCCACCTAGAGCGGCCTGAGGGCTCATCATCGTCTTTTTTTTCCCTGACCCCTTCCCCCTCTCTCACCTGACCCAGTTTTGGCATCATTAAAGCTGTTTCCTCCTCCTCCTTAGCGAACGTTCAACGTGCAGTGTTCCAAAACCATCAATAGCATCCTTTTTTTCTCGCTCGAAATGAATACAACCAAAAAACAAACAGTGCATGCATTCTGCACCTAATATTTGATTATTTCTGTGCAAAGACTAAAGCCAAATAATTGCATAATAATTAAATATTTAATTATGTGCCAATTAAAATTGATTTCCGAAACTCACACAAAATGCCACATTCCTTCGTTTTCTTTCTTAAATCTAATAATGAGTCGTGTCATGTCAATCTGCAATCCGAAGGAGACATAACAAAAAGACCACGACATATGCCCATATTAATGGCCACTGGCTGATTTTAACATTGCGAGTCGCACAGTTACCAAGGCAGTCACGTGTACACAGACACTCACAATCACGCTGAAGGTTGATTGATTTGTGGGGTTTAACGTCCCAAAACCACCATTTGATTATGAGAGACGCCGTAGTGGAGGGCTCCGGAAATTCTGACCACCTGGGGTTCTTTAACGTGCACCCAAACAATCACGCTGAAGGTAAGCCGTGCATTCAAAGGGGGGGGGGAAGAACTGAAAAGGCACTCAAGGCCATGACGTTCATGTGACATAACTTCTTTTCCCCGTGCCATCCCTCCCGATTAGTTCATCATGATAAAAGAAGGCAATTATAGCACACAACGATTCTGTGCGGCTCTGCTAGTACTTGATTGATCTGAAAATTTTTGTGCCAGTCAACTTGTGAGGCAACAAATTCCTCTGATGAAGCCATTCGATAGTTATTTAGAAGGTGTTGCATGGTCCCTTTCTGCCCAAAATGAAAGACAGACGTCATCCTTTCGTCCAACGTTTCGTGCTTCACAATGGTTAAGTATGGAGTACCACCTATGCTTGAAGTCATACCTTGTAAATGTACCCACCGACTTAAAAGCATTGTCTTTCATGTACTGCATAAGAGCATTGTTTCTAAATTCATCTCTATGGTACGCAGGTAACGAGCGGGAATTGGCACCACCGGGCTCACCTTTAGAGATGTTCACATCTGCTCCATGATCAATCAACATTTGCACCATATCAAGAATGCCGTTATTACAAGCCTGCACCAGCGCCGACCGATTTTTCTGACACTCCATGTTGACATCCAATCCTGTTGCAAAAACAAAAAGATTACAGAATTGAGGCAGAAGCAACTGTTGATGCTAGCCGTGTACTGCATGCGAGAGTGCACGAACTCGGCTGCATGGTATTACAACATGCACCCAATTTTTCTTTTTTGATGCCTTTATTCAGCATACACCGCATTCTCCAGTGACATGATTGCATGAATTAGATGATGAGTGCTGAAGTACGAGACATTTTTGGTGGATCGAGAACGCATATAAAACTGGTACACAGTTCAATGATACAGCGCACTTTGTCTTGTCTTTCTTTTGTATCATTTCATTCCACTGGATTGAGGCTTAATGAACACAATGCTTCTCAGTGGATGCCCAATGCTGGCTGAAATAAGCCACAATTCTGTTCAACATTTGCCAGTACTAATATTGTTTCAGTGAATACAGTGTGCCACCATAGCGCCTCTAAATATTCATGAATTGAAAGTAAGGAGAAGGCATGATGACATTTGCTTTCAGATATAAATGGCAGCAGCACTCACTCCCTTTCGTGTCGACTGCAGATTCTGGTTTTCTTTTGTACGATACCACCTAAAGTTAGATACCACCTTAGAAACCTGCTGCATCTAAGGTGGATGTACACAAGTCTGCACGATTGGGCGCGCGCTACAGATTGATGTCCTGAGCCGGACTGCCAGTGACCCTACCCTGCCTTTAGAAAACATTCACATGTGCATAAGCGGGAGTACAGCCGCGGCCATGTCTGTGTAGAGCACGCGAGTCCGTTGGTTTTTTGCTATACGGCATGAAACCTTGAGGGGGTACCGGGCTCTGACGCAGTCAGCCTGACAATCAGACCACGCATGCTCCCGATACACCTCTTCAGAGCCCAAAAATGCCTCAAGCTTTCACGCCGCCAGGTAAAAACCGGCTGCTCGCGTTCTCTACACAGACGTGGTCGTGGCTGTACATTTATAGTTGCACAGGCGACTGGCTGCCACATTTCTGTCGTCAAGGTGACCATAGGTGCTTAACCCATATAAGCCCAGTGTCCTACATGTAAGACGCTGAGACTTTTAAGTGTAACTCGAATGTTCTTTCTGTAAAAAAACGGTAGCACCACCTAGGATGTGTTTATAATCCCGGTCTTCGTCACATGCAAGTCCTAGGTGATCACTGGTCTACAAATAGCCACGTGCTTGCATTCACAAAATGGCTATATCGCGTGCGTGTAGCTGAGCGCCATACCGCGAAAAAACAACATAAGTGATATCGAGTCAAATTGTTCTTGATGCTGCTGATATTTTTGTCCGTTGTTCGTCAGTTATCGGGTGTGCGGTAGCTTTAGTATGACAGAGATAGGCCCCAATGTTTCTTGTTCGCAGTGTGCCAAACATTGGTGTCCTACATATAGGATGGCTCGAAAACCATTTTTTGAAATAACTTTTTTTTATTGAAAGCCTTATGTTTTTTGAGGTCATAGAAGCAATCATTTCAGATAAATAAATTAGTTTTGTTAATTTTATCAAGTTTGGGCATATATGGGTTAAAGTTGTCACAACCTTCTCTCTTTTCATCAGAAACCCCATATGTGATGGTGCAGTAGAGGCAAGGGCAAGAAATAATGCCATTCTTTGCACAGTAAGTGAAAGCTAAACGTTAGCTTAAAGGGGCACTGCAACACTTTTTGAGCACGGTCAGAAAACGCTGCTGATCGGTAGTAGAGGCTCCTGACAACACGCAGCCAAACATTATAGCGCAGCACACGGCCTGGAATTTACAATAAATATCAAAGTCAGCTAAAAATAGCTTTCTCTTCTCTCGACAAATCATGAAAATTAAGCCTAGTAAGCCCATCTATCAGCCATTGGCTGATTTGAACATGGCACGTTCGGTTGTTACAGAGGTCGCTGCAAGAAGCCGTCACTTGTCCACGTACGCTCGCACGATTGCACTGAAAAAGCCACGTATTTGAAGAAAAAAAAAATGCTCAAGGTCACGAGGCGCACGTGACATTTTTTGTCTGCCCCTCCCACCTGTCCTTGTTTAGCTCCCAGCGCTTTCGTCGGGACGAGAGAAGAAAGAATGTGATTGCAGCGTGTGACAAATCTTTGTAGCTCCGCTCGTATTGGACAGATTTTTAAACTTTTTGCCCCGTTCAATTTGTGAGGTAATATGCTTTTCCAGTGAATTAATTCTATGGTTACTTAACAAACTGTTTCAGGGCTCCTTTAAGTGCGATTAAAGCATACTGACAGTGTGGCAACACCGAGCATAAACGCTGCAAATGTTGCCAGCCATTTAAAACTTGGAACACATGTGCACCACATTGCTTTCCTTTCCAGGGAGAACTAGCTATATGCTGAATCACTGTTCTGGTCATGCAAATGTTTTTGTCATGTAAGTTTTTAGCACAATTGGGTGTGCATATCTCATTCTGCACAAAATATTGCCACCTACTTCTAGTAGTGGGTCGTATGCCAAGGCGAAGGCTCACACCACTAAAAAGAAAGAAGTGCTCGTGGGCCTATCCTCTGGCAAACAAGCCCAATAGATGCGCTTGGTTAGAGCCCTGTTGCTCAGACGTCAATAAACCTTGTCGACACCCCTGGAGCGACGTGACAATATGTTCAATATAGGTGGAAGCACACTGAAACCGAAGACACAAAGAAGGCACACACACACTATTTTGTGTCTTCAGTCTCAGTGCACTTTCCTCGTTCCTGAACATGGAATGACAACGTGCCCTGATGTCGGCCTTGGCCAAAATATGAGCTCGTGTTAACGAAATGTAGAAAGCACAAACCTCGAGAAATTAGTTCCCGAGCTAGCCCAACGTTGCCTCTTGCAACTGCCACTCGAAAATCTTCCTGCAGTTCTGGGGAAATCCGTGCCCCGGCTGGGATTTTGTTGTCCTCCTCTGGTTTCTTGACCTTAGGTGCAACAGGTGCAGGGGGCTGGAACAGCGGCAAAATTAAGCCGTCGTACGCAAGAGACACAGTTGCCATGCAACGCGAACAAATTTTGCGTCAGCTGAACTAATTTGCACCATTTTTTTGTCACTGTCAACTGTCACCGTGTCAAGCACGAAGACCACTTCATGGCAACAAAAAGTGAAAACATGCCAAGAGAAACCTCGGGACATGAAAAATGCGCTTGAATGGCGGAACACAGATGTATTAGTCACCTATATCTACCTATTTGTCATCGGTACTACGATTGTGGCCACGAGGTGCGTCTCACGTGGTCACTTGACGTGTGAGCTAGTGTCACCAGCTACTCTATAACGGCGCAGTGAAGACAACGTTATAATGTGACATATTCGGGTTGAATGACAAGTTATTTTTTATATCTAAGTGGCACAGGTTTGCCAAAAAGCTCCTCTGCGCCTCACTTGCGTCGAACGCATACACGACTGCGCCAAAGAAACAATAGCGCTGCGGTGACACTAGCACTAGAGTTACTGTATGTGCTCCGTTTGACCCGACTGATGGAGCATACACTATAACTTTGAGAAGCAACGAACTACTTGACGCTGAAGTACCTATCTCACCTCGACCAACTTAGGTATTTCGTCGCGGTCGGAGTCGTCATCTCCGAAGACAATCTCATCGCCATCAGACTCCGACCACTCTAACTCCAGGTAATCTGCTGGCACTCCCTTCATGTTGTTCAACACGACGGCATAGGTATCAAAAGCACAGAAAAACTTCTAGGAGCTATCAGACTGTACAGACAGGCGAATGAACGCGGCACTGGTAGGTGTTCTGTGACCTGCGCACTCAGGCTTTCGGCCGTACTTCGTTTGGCTGCGGAAGTGACTAAAGGCCTGATGGATGCGAATGAGGCTGGTTGTGGCTACTGCGTCGTTCAGCAGGTACCGATGGTACAGTGGCTAGAACTGTACTGTACATGTAGAACGCTACCATCGGACTGTACCGATGGCAGCGACTCAAACCAACTTGACCAAGTCGAGTGAGGTTGCGGGAAAATTAAATATACCGAGTCGTCAATAATGCATTTTCTAAAGCTAGGCTACTTTCAAGTGAATGTTTTCAAATTCACTCATCCTAATCGATAACATTTAGGTGTCCTGAAACGTAGAGTTGAGATCGGCAACACCCATTTACCGCGAAGACCTACATATGAACGTTGTTTTATCTTTCCCCATTTGCTTCCATAGGACGCCGCCGTTTTGCTGTTTTTCTTTTGGCATCGCCTGTTAATATGTGCGAAAACGTGTTTTTGCACTGCGTTCGCCCGCCCTCAAAAATTCACGAGGTATGCAGTTTGAATTAAGTGCTTGCAAAGTGCATCCCCTTGCATTTTAAAAACAAAATCTCGTAATTTGGTGCCAATAACATTTTTTTTAAATATTGAAAACTATTAGAACTATTTTATGCTATCATTAAATCAGATACTTGCCGATGCCTTGTGCCATTCATTCCGCTGGAAAATGCAAAACTGCCAGGCTCTGTCTTTAGGCACACGAAATTATTCAAGCTCCTTAAATGACCTGGCTTCATGGCCAGCTATGTAGGTGTATAATTTCTCATGCCAGGGCTCTGCCTTAACAGCATGCCACAATGATACGCCACTTTCAAATAGTCAGCAGGCAGCTTCGCACCTTGGAGAAATACAACAATGTTATGGTCGTCAAATGCCACAATGCCATCCAACTTTTTTTTTTGCATTGTCAGTGAGTATCTCGTATCCAGCACTATGCCTTATACATGAAATCGCGCTCCAACAACACAATGATTACTGCATACGCTTCAAAGCTTGACGAGCTACCCAGCAGGCAGGTGACCTGAATGAAAAGCAGTCGTCCCTATGGGCACTTGTTTTAAAGGACAATGAGCCGTCCAAAACTGCGATTTAGTAATATACCGGATGCATGACCATACAGTCTTACTTTAGCTTTGCAAAAAAGAGATTACCAGAGCGCACAAAACAAGAATGTGACCCCTTGAGACAAATTTTATGTCCTTACTTCCATCATCAACATTATGTCTGTTGCAAGACAAGGGCCTCTCCCCATGATCCCCAACCCACCCCATCTTGTATGAGCAGAATGTATATCACTCTTCACCGAAGTACGATTCTGACTGTGGCTGTGGTCAAGTATTTCTCAACTGCTTAAAACTGGGGCAAGTGATACCCTACCAAACATCGTACGTCTTAAAATTTACTATACTTTGAGCATATGAGCCTGTATAACAGCAACCTTTTAAATTTAAAGAAATGAATCATTGTGACGGTAGTATCTTCATTTAACCTTCAAGTGGGAATTTGCCATAGTTGGAATCCTTCTGGGCGTTTTCATGGCTTAGCACTCCTTTACTGCTGTGAACCACCATTTACAGGAAGTTTGGACTACTACATTTAAGCAGGTCTTTCACAGCTTAGCACCCCTCCAGTGCAATGGAACCACTTTTACAGGTGTTAAGTGCCGGCTAATACATATACATCTATTATTTACATCTAAAATTTTAAATAATTAAAATTCGAACCTAAGTGAATTAAAGTGCCATATTATTCGTTTGAATATTCGCACATGCCTGCATTAAATGGGAGTTGGCAGCCTAACACTTCTACAGGGAGGTTAATTCCTGTTCTCGTGGGGTGTGGCACGACGCGTCTGTGTTTGCTTGCTGAGCATTTTTAATGCAATAACACCCAAAAATGGGCATATCCTGTCATACGCAATGAACGTTCAGACATAACATGGCAGGTAACTTAACAATATATACCTGCCTCTTACAATGTTCTCACTAATAGCCACCCACCAAGTACAACTTATAACTGTTGTCAGCCATTATGTCCACCATTAGCTTTATGTCTATAAACATTATGCCTGCATTAATTAATTATTCTTTAACTCGCACACACCTAACAAAAATGGCAAACATTTTTTTTTATAACTACGGCGTAAGCTGAAATGGCTAGTGTCGTGCTTTGACACAACTGCTCAGTCAACAGGATACTACACCTTGCAAACTGACCGACAGCCACGCAGCTGGACATGAAGGTTTAACTAAAGTTACTTGTAGTTAAGCCAACAAGAACAGAAAAAATGAAATCACACACACACAAAAAGGGAAAGCTGCATTTATTGTTCGCGAACAACATGTGTATTACAGCAAAAAAAAAAAAGTAACCAGCGCAGCATTTGCCATTAGAGCAACTTGTGCGTGCAGATTGTGTTTGTGTGTCAGTGTATATCTATATTTTGTAGTAACATTTAAAAGCCTAAAAAAGAAAAAACGAAGACATCATCAGAGGTAAATGAAGCGAGAAACCGGCACCCGCATGAGCCTTTCGAGGAACATGCGCAACTGTTGGCTTCGACTATATTACATTTGGCAAGCCATATCACACAATTTGCCCAAGGACTCCAGTCATCTTCGTTAGTCGGCCGAAAGAGCGTAGGATAAACCCTCCCGCGCAACACGGAGGACAACGAGAAAAGAAAAAAAAAAAAGTGACGACTGTGCCTCTCCGGCTGGGCTTATATCCTTCAACTATACGCTCGAGTAACGACAACACCCGCTATATACAAAGTACAATCTCAAGCGGAAAAAAAAAACAATTAGTGTGCACGAATTCCCGAGAAGGAAGGAAGAAAGAAGAAATGCGGGTGAAAACAGTCCCAACCACTTCCTGATGAGGTTCGACCTGCGAACCTCGGGCCTCGGCCGCGGGAACAGGGAAAAGAAAATAAGCCAGCGGCAATGTGTGACCGGTGTGTGGAGAGCTGCCGTGCCTCCTCGGTGCACATTTTGGTTAGCCTGGTGTTATAAGCCCCAGCACAGCAGTCTATCCTTGAGAAAACAAATGCACTGGAAGGGGACTTCTTTTTCAGACGTGCAGTCGTCACAAGTCCCTGCGTTGAGGCACACAGGTCTTCTTGACAGTCCACAGATGATTGTGGATGGTAAAGGCATCTATGGTGACCGTTAGGTGCTTCGTGTGAATCTGAGTGAAGCTCTTGGCGCCAGAGTTGTATCTGAAACAAACAAACAAAATAGACAGAAACCCATAATTCTATACGACTGCTCAACATTTGGCCCCTTCCAGCGTGATTTCTTGGCAATGCTACACGATGACTGACCAAATCTGTGCTTTGTTAACTTATTTATGCAGTACGTATATGCATTGAGTGAGTAAAAACTTCAGACACCTCCTGCAACTTGTTCACAAAGAAGGAATGCACATATGAAGCCGCAGTATTGTGAAAACACAGCTCAATATGAGGAAAAATTCTAACTTTTACACGTCTTGTATGAAATGCTCCTCAAATAACAACTTATGCATTATAGGAACAATTTATTGGCAACTGATTTCAAGTTTATCCCCAGCTCTGAGATATCAAATACAATATGATTCATAAACAATACATAAAGTATTGCGAGAAGTAAGCAGGCTCCCGTATTAGTTGCAGCGACATCAACAATAAAGAATACAGTACAGTCACACCTCATTATAACAAACTCACATGTGCCACGAAAACTTTGTTATATCCAAAAATTCATTACAAACAATTATTTGTTTGCAACACTATCTATGGCAAAGCTATTACACATTTACTTCATTTTACAAACTCGGTATATTGAATTACTGGTCATATCGAACAGTTGAGAAATCCCCTGAATTTCCCATGCATAAGTATGGGGCCAATGCACGAGTAGTACATCGAACTCCCACACAGCGGGACATCCGCAATATCGAACGCTGCACCTCGCTGAGGCCCAGAAAGTGCATTTTTTTTAGCAAATATTGATCAACTTTCGGCTGCATTCTAACAAGTTTCGATCCCTTTGCGTGCGCAGGTGACAAAAAGGTGGTATTATGATGGTCTCGCATTTGACGGGTCAAAGTGTCCGTTATCCGGCCAGTTAACGGTTGAACACTTGTGAACATTTGAACAAAAGTAACTTTAATTAACAAGAATTGGGATCACATTTTATCAAACATTCACCAGCACTCAGTAAGTCCCTGTAAAAAAGCGGTGTTGTTGCTCGGGCTAGTAGGGTGAGTCTGACCGCCGCCTGGCATTTCTTCTTCTGTCAACGACCGGTGCTTTCACTCTCTCCGTGAGCTGACAGAACTGACAGAAAAGATGACAAATGAGGCTCTGAAGGTCGTTTGCGGCGCCCATTTAAAGTGGTTATAATTTCATGATATGGACGGAGCTCCCATTTAAGACTTAAGCGTCCCCCCACTTTCGTTGGCGGCAGTTCAAAATCAAGCACGGCTCATGGCTGCTCCCTTCGAGAGGGGACGCAACACTCCTTGTCTGGTGTCTGTGCTTGTTAGACGCCACTGTTGGTTGATGATGAAAACAAGGGCACCACTTCTGATATCGGTCGACAGAGTTTCTTGATTGCGCCATTTCTTGCAATCTTCACTTCCACCTTGCGCACCATTCCATCCGCACTGGGCAGGCTTTGGGTGACAACGCCCTGATGAGCACGACGTCGCCTTCTTTTATATCCTTTTTCCTCACTTGCCATTTTCGACGTTCCTGCGACGTTCCTGCAGAGTAGCAAGATGCATTGAACGCCAGCGTTTCCAGAATTAATTAGCCACGTTCTGGGCTTGATGCCAGTGTCGCTTGTACAGATTAGTCATATCTATTTCTCAACTTGTAGGGGATAGGCATTTTTTTTTTGTGTGTGTGTCAGTAGCGTCGCCGGAGTGAGGATGGTGAGATCTTCGGGGTCCGAGGAAGTCGGAGTTATAGGTCTGGCATTCATGATGGCTGCGACTTCAGCAAGAAGGTGGCAAGAATGTCGTTAGTAAGCCATTGATGGCGTGATTGCATAAGCAAGGAATCAGGAATATGGCGTGCCGTACGGATCATTCTCTCCCTTGCGTCACCCATGTGGAATGCGTGTGGTGGATTTAATATCCACTTACAGCCGGTGTTCGCTAGGAACCTGCCAAATTGTGAGCTATTGAAGCTATCAGCACCAATTCCAAGTTCTCTGCATGCGCCGACAAAATTCGCCCCACAGTCAGAGCGTACAAGCTTCACAGGTCCTCTCAATGACATGAACCTTCGAAAAGCGTTTATGAAGCTCGACGTGTCCATTGATTCGATGAGTTCAATGTGTACTGCGCGAATGCTTAAGCATGTGAACATTACTGCCCAGCGCTTGATGTTGGCAATACCACCCTTCGTTCAGCGGGAGGTAATCAAGCAGGGACCGAAAACATCGATTTCTACGTTTGTAAACGGGGGCTCCATGCTGATTCGGTCGGCCGGATGGTTAGCCATCTTCTGATCGTGAAGGCGTCCTCGTAGCTTCTTGGATGAAATACAAGCCTCCTACTCAGAGAAGATGCACCTTTTGCCTCCAACAATCCAATATCCAGCAGCTCTCACAGCTCCTTCGGTGATGTGTCGACCTTGATGTTGAACGCAGCCATGGTGGTGGCGCACTAGGAGTTTCTCGACATGGTGTCGGCCAGGTATTATTAAAGGGTTTTTCTCTTCATCCGGAAGGTCACCTTTGTTCAAGTGGCCACCGACACGGCTTAGCCCCTGGGTGTCCAAAAAATGGGTCAAGCTTTCGAAGCGAGCTCGTTTTATGAACTTGCTCTCCTCTCTGGATACAACGCACCTCTTCTGAGAATACGTCCTGCTGCACAGAGTGAACAATGATGACTTTGGCTCGAGAGAGCAGGTCCACGAGATCCATTTCTTCTGGTGACGAACTCTTCGCATGATGGGCAACCCGGATTATGCCAGCCACAGCTTGTACGAGTGAGCTCCAGCTCTAAAGCTTGCTGAATCAATTAGCTCCTAGTTGCTGTCGCTGTTTGGTTTCCGTCACGAAGGCACGGACCTCAGGGCGTACCTCTTCGTCTTCATTAGGGTTTACGAGCTTGAAACATGATGATGATGCTTCTCCTTGAGGTTGAGAGAGAAAGTCGGATCCTGACAACCAGTTTATCCTCTCGAGCTGCGCTGCTGGGATTGGTCTGGTGGCTTGGTACGCTGGATTTTTTTCTGTACACACATACTTCCACTGTTCAGGTCGTGCGCTGGTACGCATGCGCTGAATTCTGTTAGCTACATACACATAGAATCGTTGCGTTTCATTGTGTATGTATCCCAGAACTACCTTGCTGTCTGCGTAAAATGTGACAGAACTCGGCTGAAAGTTTAACTCCCGTAGTATGGCATCAGCCATTTCTGCAGCAACGATTGCTGCACACAACTCCAGCCTTGGGATTATGTGGTCTTGTTTCTGCGCAAGCTTCGCTCTTCCCATGACAAATCCGACATGTTTGTTTCCTTGCTTGTCGATTACCCCTAGGTACGCTACCGCGGCGATGGCACTGATAGGCACATCTGAGAACACGCGAATTTCTCTAGTTACGGCTTCAGAAGTTGAGTGCGGTACATAAGTTTTCCGTACACGTAGGCAATGATGTGCTTGTAGAGAATTCTTCCATTCATCCCAGCTTTGTTTCTTTGCATCTGAAAGCGGATTGATTGATTGATATGTGGGGTTTAACGTCTGAAAACCACCGTCTGATTATGAGAGACGCCGTAGTGGAGGACTCCGGAAATTTCGGCCACCTGGGGTTCTTTAACGTGCACCCAAATCTGAGCACACGGGCCTACAACATTTCCGCCTCCATCGGAAATGCAGCCGCCGCAGCCGGAATTTGGACCCGCGACCTGCGGGTCAGCAGCCGGGTACCTTAGCCACTAAACCACCGCGGCGGGGCGCATCCGAAAGCGGGGTGTCGCAGTCATAACCTTCTGTCACGAGGTCATAAAGCAGGTGTTTTCCCTAAATCGTTACAGGTGCCACAAACCCCGGCAGGTCAAACAGACCGTTGACGGTCCACAGCACCCCTCGCGGTGTATAGGGCCTGTCTTGAAGAGGAGCTCTGAAGACGAAGAAGTCATTGCCTACATCCCAAAGTAGACTGAGGCTTCTCTGCATATTTGATGCGTCTTTGTTCAAGCCAAACTCTTCGGTCCCTGCGCATGGTCTTGTGGAGAAAATACATTCAGCACATTCTGCCCATTTGAAGCAATCTTGTGCAGCCTTAAGTTAGCTGTAGAAAGCATTTTTTGCGTTTTCTGCAGCAGACTGATGGAGTCGTCTTCACGCGAAAGAGACTTGAGTGCATCATCGATATAGAAGTCTCGCTTAACAAACCTCCTGGCATCTTCACTGAATTGTTGAGCAGCCTCTTGAGCAGTTCACCAAAGCCCATATGTTGCCACCACCACGGGTGAGGGACAGTTGCCGAAAACATGCACCTTCATTCGGCACTCCATGATTTCTCGGGAGATGTCATTGTCCTTAAACCAGAGGAACCTTAGGTAGTTCTGATGATCTTCACGAGCACGAAAGTTATCAGGTCGATCATCAAACTTGGTAAGTCCTGTAGAGACAAGGTTCTTGCGGCACAAGCATTTAAGGACGCCGGCAAGCTCCGAGCTGAAACCGTTAGGTGCTGGCGTGTACGCAGGCGGCTGGTGATAATCACACCAGTCCGTGAGGTGGTTCGTTGCTTCGGCATGCTCCAAGCTCTGGCTTCTCGGATGCACAACAGTCGCCCGAAGAGACGCAAGCTCGGCATCACTTATGGCCGCTTGCTTAATGATGTAGCTCGAAACTTGTGCTCAGTCTATAGCTGGGGGTGGGCGCACACACTCCCCGCGATCCTGTTCTACAGCGACCTTGAGTGCACTTGCCTGCGCGTCTGCAGCAGCTGCCTCTTTCTCATGTTGTAAGAGCTCAATCTCGATTCTTGCCTTCTCTAAGTGCATTGCGGCCTTTTTATGACCAAACTGAGCTCTTGCTTTAACAGCCTTTGCTTGTGTGCAGACCTGCACAGTGACGTGGCTAATCGTGGAGGAGACCGATCGTCGTGATCGTGAGGAAGCTCTTAAGTGAACTAATAGGGAGAACTGCGACGCCGTTTCATGTGCCTTGTCGCGTTCTTGTGGTGTAGCCTCTTGTAACTTTTCGCTGATGATCGCCTCACGGTCTCCATCGATTGCCTTTTGGAGCTTTAATTTCTGCCTCGCTTCAGACGTCTTTGCCTTCTCAAGAAAGGCTGAGTACCTTGCGGTGGCATGCTTGTAGCACTCATAACTTGCAGCTGTGTTCTGGCACCGGTAAACTGTCCTTTTTTAGCACGTGACAGTGCCTGAAGAGCGCTCTCCACGTTCTTCCAAACAGCGTCAAGTTTACGGCAGCGCTCTTCGCGGCTTATTCGATAAGTTTCTTAAGCTTTCATCGAAACTGCTGCTTTTATTTGTGGCAGAATATTTGATGTGTAAGCTTAATCCTGTGATGCGACATTTAGACACTCATGCGTGAGCTCGTCCCGATTCATTTTTGCTTGCTTTACCTTTTGTCTCCGAGCGGATGTATGTGAAACAAATCATCATCAGTGGCTGGAACGAGCAGACGACATTACTGCAGCAGTTTTCGAGAAAGCGATAATTACTCGAGGAAAAAAAGAAACCGTATTTTTGTTGGGCGATGAGGGGGGTGCGAGAATCATGCGAGTGCGAGGATTATGCGAGTAAATACAATACGTCAACAGGATGGTGATATGTGGGGTTTAACGTCCCTAAAACCACCATATGATTATGAGAGACGCTGTAGTGGAGGGCTCCGGAAATTTCGACCACCTGGGGTTTTTTAATGTGCACCTAAATCTGAGCACACAAGCCTACAACATTTCCGCCTACATCGGAAATGCAGCCTCCGCAGCCGGGATTCGAGCCCGCGCCCTGCGGGACAGCAGCCGAGTACCTTAGCCAATAGACCACCGCGGCGGGGCACGTCAACAGGATGATAAAAAAGTGTCACAGCTTTTGAAAGAAAACTGGGAATGTCAACAAAAGATTGGGAACAGTGCGACACTTACTTGAAAAACATGTCCATCATGGAAGGCTGAACACTGCGCGGTCCGATGCCATGCAGCCGCAGCACTTCCTCTCTCTCGGGGTTGTAGGAGTAGAGACCACGAAACTGGCAGCCCGAGTCCCGGAACAGTATTAGAAAGTGCTTGCTCTCAGAGATATTTATCTCCTGCACACAATGCAATGGTAAAGCGTCAAGCAACCACTTGCCTTGATAGCCATGGCGACAAAATCCGGAATTAAGCAGACCCAAAGTATCAATGATGACCCAAGATCTACAACATACAACTTTGCCACTAAACAAGGCAAGAGGAAAAACCTAAAAAAAAGATGACGCATAGTAGACTTGTAGACATAACTTAAGTAGAATTGTTACTTAAATGGAACAACTGCCTCTCACATGAGTGGTTTCAGACTTGCATTTCGCACCCCTGTTAAAATCTCAGTAAATAAATCTTCTGTTAAATGCGACATATTTTACTTGTTTTTTTCAGGTTCCATTTAACAGGAGTCTATAGTAAGTGGTCTGAATACTGAATGAAAAATCCATACCTAAGCACCATAGCTGTCAAATTTCTGACACCGCATCTTTGAACAAACGGGCGGCCATGCTGCAGATCGCTAAACTTGACTTTTTTATGGTTGGGGTTTAACTGCCCCAAAACCACCATATATGATCATGAGAGACGCCGTAGTGGATGGTTCGGGAAATTTCGACCACCTGAGGTTCTTTAATTAACATGCACCTAAATCTAAGCACACGACCCCCAAACGTTTGCGCCTCTATCGAAAATACAGCCGCTTAAAAGCTAAACTTGAACCCCCGGACGAGAGAAACAAGACTGCTCAGAGGGAGACTGCTCAGCTAAATATCTCATAAACATGACATTTTGGCGAGGTTGAAATATGCAACCATGGCATTAGAGCCAGACATTATGGTAAAACATCCTGACACGTACGCATCACATCCAACCTGTGTTTGCAGCAACTAACCCCTTTAAGTGTTTAATTATTTTCGCAAAGAATTGCATAACACATACGCCCTATTTCCACTCTGCATCTGTTTACAGTGTTTTAGACTGAAAGCATTTTAGCACGCCCTCTCCATTTTAAACATGACAACTTGACGTCTGCAATGTTGTGCACAGAATAGGAATAGATGGCAGGTTAATGATTGCACACTGTGTCTGATGAGTGAGCCTCAAATGCAAGGCTTTTCACGCAGAAACCAAATTGTCGACGCACCTCCAACACCTTCCTCTTGGTTTCGGAATTGACAGCTCCCGCAAGAACGGTGTTGATGGCATTGATGATGATGCTGCGATTTGACTTAGCTGTGGGCTTGACGAACAGCTTGGGCCCCGCGTATTCGCTCGCTGAAGGTAGCAGCATGAGGGAGTGAGTCGAGGCCGTGTCCGATGCTCCATCGCTGGCTGAAGTCCGCCACTCCGTTCCCGAGGGCGGTGGGCTGGCTGCACGCTGCCGCCCGCACTCTGCGTAGAACCAGAACAATCAGGCATCAGCCCTCAAATTAAATCTATTAACTATATAATAATTAATGGGGTTTCACATCCCAAAACTAGGCTTGTGCGAATATTTGAGACCTTGGAATTTGACTTAATAGAAATTTATAAGTATTTTAAGTGAACCAATAGGTGTACAATAGTCCGCATGTCATCTAACTGTAAAAGTTTCACTGCAGTGGAGGGGTGCTATGCCGTGAAAAGACCTTTAAAAAATCCCCACTTCAAGGTTAAATGAACATATTGCTCTCACATCAATTCATAATTTTTTAAGTTTAGTTTATATTCTTGTTATACAAGATTATATGCTCGAATTACAATAAATTTAAAACGTAACATATTTTATGGCTCACCACTTGCATTTTGCCGAAATGCAAATCCTGCTACTATTCAAAGTTGCTTCCACTTTACTTGAACCAAAAAGAAGGACATTTGCACATGCCTTACTTCAATTAAAATCATAATTTGCAGGTCAGTTGGGTCATAAAAAATATGGTCATTTTTTTTTTACAATATGTGGTATGCACTCAAACTTCATTAAGCGTTCCATTTTACATGAAAATAAGTTCGTTATATTAAAAATTAGTTATAAAGGTACATTCCTGACACTATATCTATAGCAAGGCTATTTTTCATTTACTTTGTTACAACCAATATTTCGTTATATCTAGGTTCGTTATATTAAGGTTTGAGTGCATACTATTCAAATTTGATTCGTAATTTTTTGAACCAAGTTATTGTGTGCTTTGAATTCGTTTCGAAGCTAAAATCTACACAAGCCCACCCAAAACTATGATGCGAATACAGTAAAACCACGTTAATTCGGACTTCACGGGACCGGAGATAATGTCCAAAGTGGTTAGCATCTCAATGAGAAAAAAAAAACGAGTTCTTACGAAACTGGCCAGCAGAAAAATTAGATATATTCAATGCTGTCTTGTAGGTTCCCTAATAAAATGAAAAGAATTTTCTTTTCATAGAATCACAGAAAGGGGCCTGCTGCTTCATTGTATAGAAGTTCACAGTATAAGCTAGTATAGTTTTGTCGCTTCGTCGGTAATGCGTGACCAAGTACAGCCATAAAGTGCCCCAATGACACAATAATAATTCATCTAGTTTTCGTCAAAGCACTAAGTGACTTGGTATGGAAAATAAGTCTAATGTAGTTTACATAGCCACTAAATATTATGGTTCTGCTATGTAAAGAAAAAAAGACATTCCTACACAAACCTTCTTTATTTTGCCCATTTTCATTGGAATGTAAAAAAATTACTAGTTAGTTTATGTGCAATATCTCTTCAAAGAAACCTTGAATGGCACTTCATCTAAAGGCACAGTAAATTCTGCTTTGTTACGTTGAATAGTTTCGCCATACTCCCAGTATAACAGAGGCTTGTACAGCAAAAATGCTTTTGTTGCTCACACTACTTTCATTGCTGCTAGGTAACGCTTCCGACCAGGCATTAAAATGAAATGTCATTTAAAAGAGGGGATAATAAGCTTTCTAAAGCAGCCCAATTAAGTTTTCTTTGTGATGCACAGCGAGCCCATAGCATCCGCAAGCAATGCGTAAAAGGCGGAGTGGTTGCAGCCGGAGTGGGTCCACCACCTTAATATTGTTTTAAAATATGTTGGCTTTGCAGCCTTCCTGATCACCAGCAGCGGCAACCACTCTGTGCCGGTCATGTTAGCAGCCAGAAGAACTGTCACGTGCTCTTTAATTCGTTTTCCACCGATGCGTGGGTCCCCCTCGAACGCGATCGTCTTGTCAGGCAGAGCCTTATAGAACAGTGCTGTCTCATCAGCGTTGAAAATGTTGCACGGCTCGTACATAGAAAGGCGCGCGGATAGTCTGGACCGCCAGTCCTGCAAAATACTTTCATGAACCGCACCTCTCTCACCACACACGTTGCAGAACATCAACCCGTGTCGCTTGTTGAAGCGGTTGAACCAGCCTTCCAGCGCATTGAAGGAGTCAGTGTTCTTGGTCGCCGCGAACTTCTCTGCTTGTGCGCAGATAAGGGGGCCGCTCAAGGGCAAACACGTACTGTGCGAAGAGGCAATTCACTGCAACAGTGCTTCCTCTAGCTTGAGCTCAAGGGCAAACACGCACCGCGCGAAGAGGCAATTCACTGCAACAGTGCTTCCTCTAGCTTGAGATGCGCTGCCGTTCGAAGCCTCTTCCTTTGGTCGCCAAACATGTCCCCGTCATACGCTTGCATAATCTGCTCTTCGTTCTTCACATAAGCGCTCAGCATGCTTTTCTTCACATTAACTTTTCCATCACTTCTTTTCGAGATGCTCTCGCTTGCAATGCCTTCAATATTTTGAAATGAAATGAAATGAACAGATTTCATTTCCGGAGAGATACAGAAAAACGAAAGCGAAGCTAAAGGCCATTCGGCCTAACGTGGCTTCGCTACGCGCACTGCGCACCTTCGCAGCCAAATCATTTGCTTTGTACTTCGCCCTCTTCGCTGCGGGAGTTGGGGCGGTTGGGGCTGCAGGAGACGGAGGGCAAGCTATCCCGGTGTCGCTCGCGCGATGGTCCCGCATGCACGCACGGAGATACAAATGAAATAAAAACCGAGCGAACGTTTTCAAAGAACAGCAAACAGTACGACTGCAGATGGCACTAATCACGTACAGATAAATAATTTAAAGCATACTAGAGGTGAGCAATCCAACTCAACCATCACGCAAATGTGTTCGATTCGCAAGAAAAAAGGAAAAGCAAATCCGTAGGTTGCCCGATGCTGATGAAAGCAGCGATGCACTGCCTTCCATTTTGGTCGTTTAAACAACCATGTGGTTTTTTTGCTTTGAGGCGCCTCCGAGATGTACTACCCATGGATGAAGTTTTGAATCTCAGAGGCTGCAATCCGATTCCAAAGTTGTTTAGGTGCGCAGTCGATTTGGCCGGCAGAATCCTCTGCTGCTTCCCCGCCGTGACTCGACCGCGGTTGGGCGTTCAAATTAACCAAGGCACGGCCGAATTTGTCCGAATTAATGAGAGTTTTCAATCATAGAACAATGTACATTTTGGACGGGACCAGACACCATGGCAGAATTAACCAAAATTCCGAATTACCGGGGAACAGATTACAATATTTACAGTATAAGGAATGGCATGATGGAGGTCTCCTGAAATTTCGACCCCCTGAGGCTGCAATAGTCCTTACGATCCTTTCGTCTGTGTCCTTGTGTGTGTGTACTCAAGTTTCAGTGTGCCCCTGGGGCTCTTTAACGTGCATTTAGATCCAAGCACGTGGGTGTGTAGTTTTGGTTATGTTTTATACAATAATGTTATAGCTTACAGCACTACAGGTTCTTTTTACACATAATTAGTTTGGACAATGTTTCTATTTTACTTGAGACTGACCCAGAAACTGCTTCATATAAACTATCAAACTGCCTCCAACTAAACACTTTGCATTAAAACACTTTAAATTTATATTAGAACACTTTGCAGATCCCACATTGTGAAATTTGTAAAGCAAGGCTTTAATGGGGCAGTCGCTAGAATGCTATAAAAATTTTCGTTTAAATTCAAAAGCTGCAACAAAGCTACTTTGACACCACAGCTGAGAGGCCTCAATTATACTGTGCAGTCACAGAAGAACACGGCAGCACAAACCAGAAATATATGCAGTACGCATAAGAAATGAGCAGCGGTACTGTTAACACCTCTCGTGTTCAGTTTGTTTCTTATGTGTACCGCCCTTCTTTTCAGTGTGTGCTGCCATATTACATTCCAAAACCTTTAATTTTCATATTGTGCATGATCTATTGGACAACCCAAATTCAGTGATGCAAACATAAAATGACCTCACCATCAAGACTGGTATGAGAGCCGCGCTGCAATGAACATGGCCCAAGGTGCACCGACTTGGGCCGGGGTCGTGAAGACGATCGCGACTTGGCGCTGCTGCGTGTGAGTGTAGCGCCACCATCGCCACCACGCAAGCTCATACTGCTGCCACCATGAACCGCAGCATCCTTCTCGGCCTCTTCCTGGGCCTTGCGCTGCCGGTACTGCTCGAGGATCATCTGTCGCCTCTGCCGATCCTCCTCACGCTTCCGTGCCTGCTCCTCGCGTCGCAATCTGCATGTGGTTCAACACTGCCTGTGTTGGCACTACTTCAAGGATAGTATGATTGCCAATAACCTGATGTAACTTAGAAGCGCGGCAGTTTGGGCCAGCTAGTATGAAATGACGACTGTTATAGTGGGAGCTGAGAACGACGACCAAGGGACAAGATCAACCACGCAGTCAAAGCTACAGGAGGCAGAGCCACCACACGCATGTCAGTACACAAGTCAGTAAGTGCTCGACATCACCGTCGGTATTGATGTGGAGCGTTTAAACAAAACAAATAATGCAATGAGTCAAAGCATTACAAACACTGAAGAAAGAAAAAAAGGGCACTGACTGCTCCTGCATTCGCTTGACAGCATTTCGCTGCTCCTTGGCAACCCTGGCCGCCTCCTGTTCCTCCCTCCTTCGCAGTGAGACCAGCATCATCATCTCCTTGCGCCGCTGCATCTCATTCTCCGCCTCCTGCACAATATGCAGAAGTGTAATAGCATATGTACATTACAACTACAATTTACATTAAGACGAGAAATACCTTGGGTTCCACTTGACAAACCTGGTGACTCAGAGACATTTCTCAATACGAACTGATTATATTGAGGCAAGACAACAAGCAGTGGTGGAGACGAGAGACATATTGTTCACAGAACAATGTAGATGGAGTAACAGGGGCGGTCAAGAACGAGAGGTCAAGAAGGGAGGATGGTAATTGGCCGTAATATATACACACAGGCTCATCCTTTGGTATCACTCATTAAGATAACTTGAGGCATGTGGGAAATTGAGGCTAGCCTGTCACCACTGTGTGCACCTTTTTCACCTACGGTATTTCTGCCGTCTTCATGTCCTAACGTGACTCTCCCCTCCTCCGCGGTCTATTGCCGCTAGGAAAGCGAAGAGTGACATTGACCCCTCTCACCCGGCAGCCGATGTTGCAGTGGCAGCCGCGCTCAAGCCTCCCGAGACGTTCGGTGGGAGTGAGATCCTCTCGGAACAGCGAACGATGAGTACGTCTTTTCTTTCCCATCCGTCAGCTCGTTTGTTCTTGAAACTCACTCGAACTTGCCAACAGTGCCTTGCGCCTGCGGCGAACACTTACCTTTCGTTGCCCCTTTCGAATGCTAGGCAGAAAAGCGGTGCAGTTTGTTCACGCATGATTGTACTACGGCGAGGTTTTTCTTGAAACCAACACGAGCGGAGTTTGCCCTCGCTCGAGCGATCGGGTCCTGTGGTCACTGATCGTGAGAGTGCGCAAGATAGTCGCGAGGACCCCTTTCCATCGGCGGCTTGTTCCCGTGAACCCTTTTGCTTATGGAAACATGCTCGCAGCACCATTTGTGCTGTACTTTTGTCCGTAGCATAAATAAGCTTCTTTTGCTTTCCCGCCATTTTTTACAGCAGGCGCTGTACTACGTTTTGGTGTTGCCCCAGGCAATAAAGTGTTAAGACTCATTTGAGAGCAGTACAGTGTACTTACTGCAACGCAGTCGGCGCCTTGGCTGCTCAAACACAGCTCAAAACAACGACGGGTTATGAGTGACAGAACCCCTCAATGCAGTTGAAAAATTGGAGCTCTGAAAGGTAACAGTTGCCTAGCTACACACTGTACATGTATGTCTCAACTTCTCAAGTCAAGTCTGGCCATGAAAGTGACAGCTTAAGTTGTATCACTTTCCTGCATGCATAGTAGAGAGAGTAGTGTTGTCCTGAAGTTTTGGAGACACCTTGAAGCTAGACGAGATGCAAAACTGCTTGTTTACCGCTGAAGTGTTCTCAACAAGTATTGCAATGACTGAGCAACCGAGATCTGTTCCCACACTTTTCATGCCCAGGTGACAACATGCTCAGTAATCTGATTGAAATAATGCTTCCTGTAATTAATAAAATTGACAAAATTGCAAACACTATTCTGTGTTTAAACAAGTCCCCTGATATTAACACTCCACTTTTTGGGAAGAATTGCTATTCATTTTAAATTTAGATGTAGGATGACTAGCATTCAAGTGATTGCATGTTTTCAGACTGCTTAGTCTGCAACAAAAGGGTTGCTAGCACGACATTTATAATGGTTGCTTAGCAGAAAATATGTTTGCCATCACACTACTAGATTCCATCGATCAATGATCACTAGAACTCTGTGATAGCGTGAGCAGCTTGGCAGAGTCAAACTGCGGGCAGCTGTGATGACTACAACAGCTACAGAATGATGGGAATAACTGGGTCACCGAGCAAAAGTCATGGCACATAAAACAGCTTTCATTTATAGCCTAATGCTGCGATATTCTTGGATGAACCTTGAACTAACTAGACAGCAGGTCATGCCACTGTCTGCTGCTTCCTGCAAGTCTCCCAAGGCTTAAACATGCAAATAACAAAGAACTATGGCAGCCACTCACCGGGTCAGGATTCACCAAGTCAGCCCCTATGACAAAACCAACGCCTAATGGCCCACTGGGAGGTTCTTGGTTCTCTGATGGGGCGCTGTTTGATGAGTTCTCAGAGCCTGTATAAGCAAAACAATGTTTCCCATCACTCCCAATTCCAAATGAACTTCCACATTGCACACATGTAATTCCTGCATGAAATTTCACAAAGGAACAAGAACTTTTTGTCATAGTAAAGCTCACATTTGTAGGCTCAGAACAGACATGCATTTATTTACCTTTGGTGCTTCCTGTAGATGCTGTCGTGAGGGTACCATTGCTAAGCCCAGACTCCTCCAGCCTGGCATTTTCCTCCGGCTTTGCGATTCTTGGACGAAGCTTTGGCTTTGGTTTTTTGGGTTGCTGGTCATCAAAGCTGATGAAAAAGCCCGCTTCACTGCCTTCGTCAACTGGTTTAGACTGATTCCGTGCTGGCTGTTGGCTTTTGGAAACACGGTATGTCTTGCCAAACTCGACACTTCGAGGCGGTGATGCTAGACTGCCCATCGACAGATTCTCAAGGCGTTCAGCAAGCTGCTCCTCCACGGCAGGTGCTGGTGGTGTCCGCGATGAGCGTTGAGATTCAGGTTTTGCGGGTGCGGCAGCAGTCACCTGCTCTGTACTAACTGTGCAAGGTGCTTGGAATGGTGGCGGCAGAGGGTGCTGCGGTTGCTGCTGATGCTGCTGCTGCTGTTGCAGAGGCTGTTGCGGTTGCTGTTGAGATGGCATTGAAAAACTGGCATAGCCCACTTGCTGCATGGTGGCAGCGGTACCATTTTGGTAGTAAGGCGGTTGGTACGCAAACTCATTCTGGCCCGTGGGATAGACCATGTAACCTGGGTCAACCAGTGGTGCAGCTGGGGCCCCCCAGCGCATGGGTTGCTCTGCAAGTGTGACTACAGGAGGGCCCCACTGCCCTCTTCGAGGCTGCTGTGGCGGCATGATGGGTGCCATTGGGTATTCCCACTGACGTCGTTGATGTGGCTGCTGCAGCTGCTGTTGCGGCTGTTGCTGGAATGGCGGCTGGTCGCACCATCTCGGTGAGGTAAGGTTGAGGTGCAGATTGCGCAAATGAAGGGCAGGCTCAGAGGCTGCCCACCATCATTGTCACTGTGTAGAAGAACTTCTCCTGAGGCTGAGGCTGCAATGGCACGGCCTGGGGACCGTGCAGAAGGTTCTGAATGGCTTGCTGCTGTTTGGTTATGCGAGAGATGTCGGCCTGCAGAAACAGTCAGTTCAGTGCTTAGTTGTTCTATAGTCGTGGAGCTGTCGTCAAGGTCCACATCGTCGCTTTGAGGGGATTCCTCCGCGGGTTGCGGGCTGCCGTTCTGCTGCAGCCACTTCTGTTGGGGAAGCTCAGAGTCGACGCTGTCGGCAAAAGCATCCTGGGTCAGCGTGTCGCCAGATGACTCGTGCGTGCTGCTACTACCTTCAGAAACTCTGCTTTCGCCACGTGCAACAGCTTGCAAGAAAGCTGCCTTGCCGACCTTCTGTCGCTGCCTCTTGACACGGTCTTCCATGCGTCCGCTTCTCCTGTTCAATCTTACGCCGCCTTTCTTCGAGTTTTAATCGCACATTGTTCAGCTGTGCTGCCAGAGGCGACGAACTGTCCTCCGTGCTCCTGTTTTCCTCACTGTCTGCTGCAGCTTGCTGCTGCCACGTGGTTGTTGACGGTGACGACTTACTGGCACCATCGGTAGGGTGTCTTCCGCTTCTCGGGAGGCAACCGATTTCCAGAGCCATCCTGCTGCATGTAGACAATGTTGATGCTTGACGGTGCCTTTCCAGTGTCTGCGGTATCTTTCATTTTCGACAGCTGCGCAAAGCTTATAGTCTGAGCTGCCTTCTTTGTTCGTTCCCTATGCTCGGCGAACATGTCAGTCTCAAACGGGTCCGTCATTTCCAGGGCTGCTTTCTCACCAGAGAAATTGTACATGTGCGACAGGGATGACTCTCGTCGAAGTGGGTACCCTGCCTGTTTCTGCAACCCTCCTCCTAATTGGTCGTAGTAGGTTTCCAGGGTCGAAGGCTTCTTTGTTTCGCTTTCTGACGCGAGTCTACTCGTTGTCCTCCGCACGGGAGAGCCTCCATAGATGTCTGTCTGCGATGTGCTGCGGCTCAGTGCCGATGGCTGGAACAGGTCCGTTCTGGAAGAATTCCTCCGCAATGGCGAGCCAACGTCCGACTTTGAGGCACTCCTGTGTAGAGGAGAAGCGTGTTCTGAACCGACGAGGGTGCTGCGTGACCCGCTCCGATGAAGGGGAGAACCCAGCTCAGAGCGAGAGGTGCTCCTTCGAAGGCTTCCGATTCCCGCTTATGGACGATGCTCTGTGAGCCGGAGACCCCTGCTCCTCCGCTTCGCGCACTCGATGCATGGTTTCATGCAGGCTCCGCGCGGGAGACTGGGGCGTCGGCGAAGAGCCTAGTGAGGCATCTTCACCCCGCTCCAGGTACTTTGCGACATCACAGTTATTCCTCTCCTTGGGCTCCCGCAACCGTGCTGGCAGAAGGGGGTCCATGGCCTCACTAGAATGCCTTCGCAGAGACGAGCTTGGCCTTCGATTTGATAGAAATGCATCATCTTCGTCTGACCGGCACCTGCGAAAAGAAGTGGTTGCTCTGGAGGGCCACATCAGACAGCAAGAACAGGCGTCCGAAAAGAACCGCAGTGGTCAGTGCCACACTGCAAAATATATGCATCATATGTGCAGTTCCCTTGTTTTTTTAAACCCTTCTGTACCATCCTCTCGGAAGCCGTGCTGACAAAGGCATCGACGTTCAACTTTTCACAAAACCAAATTCAACACAAGCGAGATCATAATAAATCCACATGACTGTTCAAGAAATGCCTGCCAATTCCAATCATCCAGCCACTCATCGCTCGAAAGTAGACCTGTGTGTATAGCAAAATTATGGGTGCAAGGCTAACTTGTAATGATAAAGTTTGAGTGCAAAATGAATCAAACAATTTTTTACTATTTCTTGAATATTTTCCAAATACTATGAAGCGAAATTGGCAAAAAAAAAAAGGTGGCACAGAATCCCTCAGAATATGCTAAATTATATAGTATTAACAAATTTTTAGCTCCACACTGGCCCAACCGGGCACAGCCATTTTCAGTTCATCAGAAAGCGCATTTTTCTGTCATCAAGTTTTATTCTTCTGCCACGACTTCCATTCAGAAACAAGCCACAAGAAGCAAGTGTTTAACATTAGTTTCGAGGCCCCCGATTGGCTGTCTGCGCCATGTTGCTTCAACATGCCTTGCCATTGGTCTGATGCTCATTCGAGGGGCATTGTCCGATGCTTGCGCGTTGTGAGGTTATAGATATTGACAACTGTGCTTCTTAGTGACGCGTTTGCACTTGTTCTGTGCTCATAGGTCCATGATCACTTAAAACATATCTACGCTTTGGTACGGCGGCTGCAAACGGAACCTCAATCACCACATTACAATCATGCACTGCGCTCGTGACAAACATTGCAGACGTGTGTCTCAGACTGACTGTACGTAACGCTGACTCGTGCTACCCGCGGTTAGAGGTTCTGCTTATCAGCATTCGGACCTCGTGACAAAGAAGATCATGGGAAGACTTTGTACTTGTTATCAAGCATGACATACTTTGAAACATCGGGCACTGCTGCCATGCACAGGGCGACAGAGCTTACTGCTCGGAGTCATGGCTAGGCCAAACTCCACTCACTGTGCCGGTGTGTGAAACAAATTGTGGGCAAGGACATCATGCTAGTAAACATGCGAAAGCATATAAATTGCTATATGCTTCGTCGCAAGCAACGAATCACATTGCCCGCTGGCTCCTCAAGACCATGGATAGGCATGGATAGGCAGCGGTCCCACTGCCCAAGCTCACCACTCACAGCCCTGATGGAAACGGCTAGCAGTATCTCATGTCGACGCCCACAATGCGAGACCAAGCCCGCTTCATGTTGATTTTCTGTTATCATAAACAGTTTTATTTATTTTGCAGAAGTTTGAATAGTTCAAATAGTAAAATTCTAGTGCGAATCGAATGGAATAGAAAAGACAATTTGAAAAATATTCATAAGTTTGAATATTTGCACACTCCTACTCAAAATTTCTGAATGTCTGCATGACCAGAAATTGATGAATCTGACAAACAAAACAAAATGTCAGCTTGTAAAAAATGTTGCTAGGTTGTTTTGAAACAACACACGCTGTTTACAATCATAATCGTCCGATAATACAAACACACCACTCTATGCAGCAGTAAGTTGGCACTGAAGTCAAAATGCAAAAAAAGAAAGGGTGGTGTTCTCCACCCAAGCAAGTATACAGTGAAAAACAGCCACGTAACAGTTTGTTTTATGAAAATTTTCGAACTTTGTTGTCTAACTCTACATAGGTAGGGCTACATAACGACATATAAACACAGAGGTCTTGTGATGGTTTCGCCTGATGGTTGGGTAAATGTTCTTGGAAACCAGCACTATAAAACATCTGTTGCCTTTACCATTCAAGCAACAGTGCAGACGATACAATATAGTTGCATTTGTCCCATCATCTGTGCTGTTTCATGGAGCCGACATAATTCCAAGTTGCATTTCACACTCGTACAGCCAGTGAGGCGATTAGTGAAAAGTCATTACCTAGGTGATGAGCTCAGCTGATCCGAATCTTCATCCTCCCGGGCAGAAGAGCGTGAAACACGAGTGACAGGCTTCGTACCTGCAATGAAAAACCATGCTCGCAATAGGGTAAAACATTACAATGCGAAGCGATATTTTCTTACAAAGATATAAAATGCCCTCCATAGTTAATGCTGAGTTTAAAGTTGCAACTGCAAATGCATGACAGAGGAGAGCTGTTTTTACGAAACCAGATCACGATACATTATATACATACACCTCAAAACCACTGCCTCCCTCCCCTATAAAGCTAAGCCCCTTCTTTTATTGAAAGCAATGAAAGCTTCTAGTGCAGCCTTCCTATACCATGCAATAGTGTCTAAAACAGTGAATTAGGCTGAAGAATACCATAGTTCATTATTAGAGCTGAGCAAATAGCAAAAAGTTCAAGTGCGAAGTAAACTTGAGGGGTTGCATAACGAATCGAATATTTTTCAAATAATATTCAGAAGCAAATTTGTAGAAAAAAAGTTGGAGAGGATTCCCAGGCACACTATTATGATATAGCAACATGAAAGTGTTTCTTTTTTTTCTTTTCACTTGGTTGATGAAGCACTGGAGAGTGGTGTTTCATAGTTGTCAAGAATGAGGCAATGCACAGGCCAAATCGTACTTATGTACATGATTAAGCATAACCACAATGTTGCCGACAACACTTTACAAGTGAAATGCAGAGATGCTATTTCCTCCACCTCTCCTCCTATCTCAACTTGGAAGGAAGCCCAACTTACGTCGCAGACCAGGGTGCCCTACCTTCACGTCTCGAGTTCCGAATCCGCCTCACTGATTCAGTATATTAGAACATAGGAAATTTTGGATGCTAAAAATTTTTCGCTTTTCATTTTTCAGACTTATCACCCAAAGTTCAGGTCCAAAATCGCAACGATTGAGCCCCCACCTCTGCCATATCTATCATTTCCATGTTGGAACTAAAATTTTCTTGAGTCAATACATCAACGACCAGAATGGAGCTTGAAAGGCGGCTTTGCCGCAATCCAAGTGTGTGATGAGGTGAAGCATATTAAAAATCTGCAGGGGTTACTTTTAATCGGAGGTTGACTGTATTTGTCTTTGGAAAGTTCTAATAGTAAAATTCCCAGTGAGAATTGAATCCAAATCAAACACGCTTTGAAAGATATTTGAAATTTCAAATATTTTATTACTCCTATTTATTATCCCCTCGCTGTTGTAAGTATGAGGGTGCCGTAATTAGCATGTGATAAGGCAAGCAGAGTCTAAACTATTGAACCGCATGCTCTACAACCAAAATCGTAATCATCCCTGCAAAGTAAATTATTGAATTCTTGCACAATTATTTCGCGCAGCCGCTCTCCACCCTTCTCCTTCTCGGAGAAGGGTGGAAAGGGGCCGCGCGAAAATTTGAGACCGGCTGAAAGTCTCAAACTTCCCTGTAACTTCCTTACTACAGCACGTATTTGCCAGAATTCTTGTGGCAGCATGTTCACATAGCAAAAGTGTGCATATTTTTCGTCATTTAAATTTTAGACCTCGAGGTTGTTTACTGGCCCTTTAGTGAAACAGCTGCATCCGATATGATTGGTCTCGTACCCCTGTTCACACTTCTGCCCATTGTCTCAGTAAACATAATTCCTGCTAAGCGCTACACTGATTTCCTGGTCAATTCAGGTTTCATATTGAAAGAGTCCACTGCGCATTAAGCCAATTAAACTGCCCGTATTAACAGTTGGCAACATTGTTCCACCATGCATGCCACTGCCAAGTGCGAAACTGAGGTGCACTCACCTTGGCTCAGCCTTCGCACACCTTCTGGCCAGGCTCCATTGTGCTTTGTTTGGCTGATGAAGGAAAACGAGGAGCATTCACAATTAACTTGCACATACCCAATAGACTGCTGTACACTTCTTATTGATTGAAATGCAAATGTATATCGGTAGGCAGGCTTTAACTTACTGGCACTGCAATTTTCAGGAAAATTTTAAAATATTTCTGCTTCATGCCCACTGACATGCCACTTGCAGCCTTGTTCTGCCAGAATATATTCCCTAGCAAGGTGGACAATGAGACAAATATATTGTAATGAGTCAGCTTCAAAACACAGGAAAAGCAACACACATATCAATGAAAACTAACTTGAAACATCAAGAAGTGCACCTACTGAAACTGCTTCCCATCACACTTTCGCAGAACAACTCAATATTAGACGCAGAACCGTCATGTTCATAGAGCCTCCAGCAGCTCAACTAGCATGACAGTTAAACTACAGCAGCTTTAGCAAATTAGCAAGAAACTAACACCACCGAAAGTTATCATTCCAGAATGAAATGCACAGGCTTTACCACAGTGTGCAGAGGGGTGCGGGAAGAGAGAAAGGCATCCTTACTTGTGGTCATCAGGTGGACACAAATCTGGAATGTGGCTACAGGAGTTCTGCAGGGCACGTGCCTTGCGTAGGGATTCCCCTCGATGTCGAGCCGCTGCACGCAACAAAACAAGCGCAAATTGAATTGCGGGACACAATGACGCGAACCGACACATAGGGATGCAAGCAAGTAAGGACAGATACATATTCAACACACAGCATGAGCAGATGAACGGCTCTACGACAACATCGCTTGTATAGTGAAGGATTCATAACCTGGCTATGTTACGAGCTCTACGATGCGTGACCATGAAAACAAAGTTACCAGTCTAAGTACAAAGAGTAGACTGGCGATAATCCAAACTCTGATCATTCAAACTTTCGGTTAATTCAAACAAAATTCAATTTCTTTATTGGCCCCCGTATTCTTTCAATGTATTTAAAAAGCCTCTTAATTCAAACTCCATCATTCGGTTAATTCATACTTTTTGCAGTTCCATATCAAAAAATATTTGCTGCTTTCTCACTACTGTTTAAAATTTGCAAGCTTATATAATTCCTAACAGTCTAAAAATAAAAAAGAAGCACCTCGGACTTCAAGGAAAAAGGCTTTGCTTCTAAACAAATGTTTAAACAAGGCACACTCATGGTAAACCTGAATGTACGCATTCGACAGAAGTCTGTCCGGCTGGGCATGAAACTGGGAGATAATTTAGACTCCACCCAAAAGTTTTGAAGAAACCCGACGTTTCGAAACCGACTTGGTTCCTTCTTCAAGGGTGACTGCGGGACGACGTAGCAGTGGCGTCTTCAAAGCACTCGCAGGACGGATAATGACACCCTCTCTCTCTTTTGTTGCAGCCTAAATCATCTCTCAGCATAGTAAGCCATGATGCTTCTCAACTGGTGGTATAAAGAGCTTTGTGCTAAAGGCACATACCCATATAGCATAGAAGCAGTTGGCAATTCACAATTTCTTTAAAAGGCCTTATCAGCAGTAAATGACTACTAAACTTGTGGACCTTACACTACTACTTTCTCTTCATAAAGAGCAGTTAGGGTTTAAAAACACTTAAAAATTTTTAAATGTGACAATATCAATGCCTAATCATAATGTGAGATGTCACCTCACCCAGAGCCATTTATCTGAGAACTTCTGATAATTCAAACTTCTTGATAATTCAAACAAAATTCAGAGGTCTCTTCAAGTTTGAATTATTGAGAGCCGACTGTATTTTTAAAATCCTAAGCATTTTGTAGCAAAGGTGTTCTTTGTAAAAACCAGTAGCCACAATTACTTAGTGATGCTAACATTTCTGAAAGCCCTGTTAAATTCAGGTACATGACATACAGTACTGCATGTCACTGTACCTTACTCAGTAAATGAAGCTTTCTTAAAGGGTCAATAAACAGGCTCAGACTTTTTTTTACACCCTCCAAACTAACTTGCAAATTCATACAATTGATTGACCGCAGCGATCACATATTCCAAATATTACAGCGCTGCCCGCCACGCAGACCCTTTATTTCAAAAAACGATTCTTGCACCTATTTCCTTCTGGCAGCAATGCATGTTTGGAAGAGAGCGGAAAGGGACAAGCTTGATGCAATGGATAAGGAGAGCGGTACAGAATGCCCTTGGGCTCCCCAACTACACCCACACCGATCGTCTCCTGCAGTTGGGAATTCATAATACATTGAAAGAAATCGCGGCAGTGCAAGAAAAAAAAGGTAATTAGGCTGTATGGCTCAAAAGCGGGGAGGATGATTCTTGCGGATACGGGTATTCCACCAGCTCAGATTGAGGCTCTGTACCAAGGGTTGACGAGGGATCAGAAGGAGAGCATCATTGTCTCGCCTGCCCCGCGGAACATGCATCCCCAACGAAATGTTCGAAGGTGGAGAGCGCACGCTCGGGCCTTTCTCCGCCAAGTTGCGGATCTCGGCAGGGGTGCCTGTTTTGTATACGTTGTGCAATATGATGACCAGAGAGACCGATTCACGGTAGTGGCAATCAACTATAAAAGAGTTACAATTAATGCAGTGTCGGTATGCGCCAAAACGGCCAATGCAGCTGAGCAGGTTGCCATTGCCTTGGCTCTTTTAGATCAGCGTCATGAACATATATTTAGCGATTCTAGAGCTGCCATTTGTGCCTTCAGTGTTGGAGCTGTGTGCAAAGAGGCCAAAAACATTCTCTGTGAGAAGTCGCTTACAACCCATACCCTTACATGGTTCTCGGCTCATATGGGAAACATAGACAAAGGGATTATCAATCTCAATGAGTTGGCCCACTCCAGGGCGCGAGCGTGAGCTGTCCGCAGCCGTGGAGGACCTTTGGGTCGAACTGGAGATTTCGTAAACAGGGATCCGCCAACTACATACAATGAAATTGCCCAACATTTTGCTATGAATAGGAGATCTTTCCACCTCCACATAAAAAACTAAATAAAGTTCAGGCACTTACATTGCGATTACTTCAGACAGAAACGTACCCTAACCCTGCCTTTCTCTACAAGCTTTACCCTCGAGGTTTATTTAACCAACTAGTGTACAAAATGTGGCGGTCTAGCCACCTTACATCACATGCTCTGGGAGTGCCCTTCGGTACGCAGCATTGATACAGTATCGTCCAGAAAGTGGGACTCCGCTCTCCGGAGTCCGGACATAACATTGCAACTTTGGGCTGTCCAGAGGGCCCATGATGCGGGGCTACGTATCGGCCTTACTGTCCCATCGTGGGAGCGGCCCGCCGTGTGCTAGAGTGCACGCCTTCAAACTTTCACAATATTTTATTTATTTAATACATACTGCAGACCACAGTTGTGGTCCTGGCAGGACGAGCACTTGAATAGCACAATAATACAAAAATAGCAAAAGGGACAAAAAATGAAACGGCGGACATTGCATTGTCAATCCAACACACAATTGACAACACTAACAAAAAATGGGGCTATACAGTATCTAATAAGTATGGCTCAACAATGGAATTCCATTCAGCCACGGTACGCGGGAAAAATGAAAATTTGTAAGTATCGGTATGCGCTTGGTATGGTGTTAGCGATCAAGGGTTATGGTGCCGCGTGTGTTTTGTGGTCAGGGCGGATATATACAGGGAGGGGTCGATAGCCAATTCATGTTTAGTAAGTGAGCAGAGGAAATCGAGACGAAATTTTTGTCTTCTTAACTGAAGCTTGGGAATGTTATAGAGTTTTCCCAAACCAAACCAAACCTCTTTTTTTCTGACCAATCGCCCTCGCACGTGCAGTGACGCGAACTTGTCCATGGGCAACTTGATGCACCACTGAGCTCTTCGATGGGTTCATTGTCCTACGAAATGACCCCTTGGCCCTGCAGTGATGCAGTTTTGGCTGCACAGTTTGCATTTGCATTTTCCTATACTGCACTCTGCCGTTTTGCAGAGCCCAGGAATACCGCTGGGAAAATGGCATTGCCAGAACAAAAGCCTCCGAGATAAGTGTTTCGCTAGTTTACAACTAGGGGAAGGGTGCTCCACGCATCCTGCCTCCTCCCCACGCTGATATGACACGTGCTCAAGTAGGGAAGCCCTACTCGGCCATAGGCTGTGCGTCGATGACACATCGATGACGTCTCACATTGCCAATGTGGGCGGAGTCACGACGACAGCTACGCCTTCCTTCTTTCTACGGCGGAGAAGGGTGGCAAGGCCACGCGAAATTTTGAAACCAGCTGAAGTGGATGTTGTAACCCCAGTAGCTACCTCATATTCACAAATTTCTTATGGCAGCATAATCGAATAGTAAGAGTGCACATTTCTCTTCATGACAATTTTCGGACTTCGGGATTGTTTGTTTACTGACCTTTAAAGAGGCATCTTTCCAGTGACTCAAGGCTTTCTTAAAGGGATCCTGCAACACTTTTTGAGCATAGCCAGAAAACGCTGCTGATAAATAGTAGAGGCTCCCGAGAACAAGCGAGCAAAATATTATGATGCAGCACATTGACCTGGATTTCACAATAAATTCTCAAAGTCGGCTAGAAACTGCCTTTTCTTCTCTAGACAAGTGATGAAACAAGCTCAAAGATCACCCGTCCCAGCTGTTGTATCAGCCATTCGCTGGATTGAGCATGGCGTGCTCAGTAGTTACAGGGATCGCCCTAGTGTTCAAAAAAAGTGTTCAAGGTCACGAGGCAGGTGTGACATACCTTTTACCCCCTTGCCACTCTTCCATGCTTAGCTTTTAGCGCTTTCGTTTGGACGAGAGAAGAGGGAATGCAATCGCAGCATGCGGCATACCTTTGTAACTCCACTCGTACTAGACGGATTCAAAAAGTTTTGTGGCAGTGAACTTGTAAAGCAATAAGCTCCCTTAGTGAATCCATTTTACGGATACTTGAAAAACTGTTGCAGGATCCCTTCAAGGGCATTTACATGGCTTGCCTGGGGACTGTAATGCCACTGTAACAAGTATCCATCTTAAAAATACCGAGCCTAGGCCTCTGACTTCATAATATGTTGCAAACAAACATTGCTAACTCGAACAGCACTCTGTACACCTTGCATAGCACTCTCCTTCTTCAGCAGCTTCTCTGGTCATGGTGGATCTTTCTCTAAACGCACAATGGTTCATCAGACCTGAGCAATGGTAACATAATAATTGTAGTAGAACTGAAAAGTGGGCAAGTTGGACAATACAATCAGTAATAATTGTATCGTATTTCCCTTCCCTTGCATGGTTTTCTGGTGGCATTTTCAATGCTTCACTTACGTTACTGCTATAGTTTTCGGCACGAGATGACTGCCTGGTTTCCCTTATTGCAAAGTCAACAACTGGGATAGTTGGAACTGTTCCATTTTAAATTGAAGGAACGCCAACAATCTTTGATGTTTTTTCAGTTCTATTATAATCGTCAGTCTATTACGGGGGTCTCAAACAGGCAGGCTGCATGCGGCCAGCAGACCTATCACTAGAAGCCCTCAGCTTCATGCAAAGTAAAGTTTTGCGACTTTGATAAACAGTACTCACATTATTTTTTCGCTTAGTGCAATTAATAGTGCTTTGCTTGGGTAAGCTACAGAGATGGTATGGTCTCAAGCATCCTTTATTATTTTTTTTTTTTAAGGCACCTCGCTCGGTCACTATGAGCTGAAACATCACTGTGGAATGAGAACTCGATAGTATTTTAGAATCAGAGTACAGATTTTAGTCATTGTGGAAATCAGTATAGATAGGTTTTTCAAAACCCGACGTCAAATCCCCCTTCTAATATGGCCATACACAGGGTTTGAGAAAGGTGTTCTTTCAAATCGCAACGTTATGTGACATTTTGTTCAATATCTTTCGCTCTCAAGACGTTCGATGTATTGGCCCTAGTGGCACTACCATATTTACTCACATAATTTGCACACTTTTTTTGGCAATTTCAGAGCTTCGAAAAGGAGGTGCACAGGGAGCGCGCAAGCTATGTGGAGATTTTGCAAACACATCCAGATTGATGTGCAATATGAAGTCCTAAGACGTGCGGCATATACATTTAAATAAAGAAAATAAATTGGGGCACTAATGAAGTTTACGTGTTTATTTATTAGAATTAGCACGTACTTTGGACACCCAGATCAGGTCAGGTGCGGTCTAGTGTTCGATTGAGCGCGTTTGAGTGCCCCTTTTTGTTGAAGCTTTTCTCGACAATGCTGGGAAGAACCAGTTATCATGACACGGTGATACTGGAGGACTTCAACTGTGGCATATAGCTGAAGAGGTTGTCTTCAATGGCAGGAAAAATGTATTAGCAAGCGCACACTACTCTGCTTTTTTCCCATACAGAACGTCGCACTTTCAACAACTTCATGCTGAAGTGCTTGGCAGCAGCAGGTTTCCTTTTTTTTTTTTTTTTTTTTCAGGAAACTATAACAGCCAGCTTACAGTTCGCCATATAAGTAACTATTCCAACCAGTTGCATTGAAAAACTTAAAAAAAAGTCATTAAAACCTAAACTTCCAAAATCAGCCAAGTGGGCGCTACAGCGCAAAGGCAAAGAACAAGGAAAATGGTCGGCACTACTGGCCTTCACATGCTTCCGATGCAGAAAATATTCCGTGCCGTGAGCGTGCATTCTGACATTGGAAGAGATAGAGGAAAGGAAACGCTCGAGCAGTTCCTGACGAAACCGTAGTTCAGGCAAAGTTCTCGAACAGATGGACTTTGGAATTGCAGCCCGCTTTATGACTGCGCTTGCCTGCTCGGCGATAGGTGCACCCATTCAAAGCCTCTCCTTCTTTCGTGAAGCATCCAAGATCCAAAGTCTCCTGTGCACGCAGCGGTGAGTGGGCTCAGGTGAGTTGGGAAGTGCTGAATAGGCGAGTAAACATTTTTTTTTAGTAAAGCTGGCCGAATATTAGGGGTTCGCAAATTATGCAAGTGAATATACAGTAAATTTCGTGACTGAAACCCACAATCTGAGGTGAGCTTGAGAACCCTGGTTTATTATGTCTACTGCAGCGCAAAGGCCTCTCCCAACAATCTCCAACTCGCTCTAGCCTACACAAGCTGATTACATTTTTTTCCAGCGAACTTCTTAGTTTGATCGCCGCACCTAACTCTGCCATTCTCTGCCACACCTAACTCTGCCATCCCTTAACTATACATTCCATCGCCTTACTTGACCACCAGTTATCATTCCTGTCCATAAAGCGGCCCACCGAGGAACATTATTTGGCTTGCACAAGGCTATCTCCGTTTGTTTGATGACACATTCTGCAACTTGGCTCTCTCACCATTGAAACATATTGGTAATTCTTCTTTCAATCACATGCTGTATCGTCCCAAAATTTTCTCAAGTTTCTTTGCTATCTTCAGTGTCAGCTCTATATGTCATAACTGATAGAATGCAATGGTAGTACGACTCTCCACCTTATGGAAAACAGTAAATTTTCGGCAATGACCTGAGATGTCAGCCATATACACTTCAGCCCATCCTTATCCTTTCGTGAATTTCATTTTCATGTGAAGGCTCAAGCGCCAGTGGTTGACCTACTAGGCATACACAGGCTCTAAATGCTGTTTGCCAACTGTAAACTCTTGTTCTTTTGCTGAACTATAGCATGCACTAAGAAACAAAATGTGCAGCAAACAAACAGGCGTAGGACACGAGCAATGTGACACGAAGTACCAACAGCAGCAACCACCTCTCCACCTCAACTGAACACAGAGCCCACAGTTGGCACAGCACTTCTCGAAACAAGAGCGGTGTCTTACCCTGCAGCGTGTGTTCGGTGCTGGGCGGGTCATACCGCAGCCCCGGCCGTCGCACGCACTTTGCCGGCCGGATCTCGAACACAAACATGAGATCGGCAAGGAGGGCGAGAAGGTTTTGGCCGGATGGAAGGGTGCACAAACAGTACATCCTCCACCGTCAGGAAGAACACGTCGTGCGGCAAATGCGCATCGCAGAAGCGCTGGCTTAGCTGCAGGTTGTAGAGCGAGTCGGCTAGGCTGTCACCCGGCAGGCACAAGTCGTGCCAGGGCAAGTGTTGCGGGCAGTAGAAGCTGAGCAGCGCGGCCAGCGCACAGCCGTCACTCAGGTCTGCCAGGTCCTGAAGCATAGGCGGACCCCCGACAGGCGGCTGCCCAGGCCCCAGCTCGTCCTCGATGCGGTGCCGCATTTTCACCGAACACTTGTTCAGCCATAGCAGCGCCGCATCCTCCGCATCGACGGGAACCTCCTCTGGGTAGCCGACAGCTGAAAACCGTCTGTGAAACAAATAGAGGCTCATCGGTGCTGCTACCTATAGAACAATGTGCAGTAATGTGCAGCACATTGACCATAACTTGGTGGGCACCTAAAAGGAACTGACAACTGATTTTTCTCAACCCAGCTTTTTACAGAACAACGAAAAACTCCCCCTCGGCAGTGGTTAAAGCTGGGGCGGTTGATTGCAAAGGCGTGTGGACATTTCGCAAGAAGGTTTTTTTTTTATCTGAGAAGCAACTAGAAAAGTAAGAGTGCATCCTCCAGCAACGCTGAAAAGAAATGGCTATTCCGATAATGCTCCTAACAAACTGTTCGTTACGCCTAATGTTCAACTTACAGGAGCGAGTGCAACTGCAGTTAGCTGCCTGCATTTCATCATTTTCAGCAGTTTTCTTTATTATGTGAAAGCAATAGAATAAGTTTTCGAAATGCCAGTCATCACGTGAAATCCCTTTCACGCCTCACAGGCCACACACTCGTGGTACTTCTCCAACTTGCCTGTAGGTGCTGCTAGTTGCCCAGCTGACTTACGTGCTGCGCATGCGCCCCGATTAGTTTTGGCAATGGTGTGTTGCTAGAACTAATCGTAGAGGCCACATGCTGCCATTTGTAAGCATAGGATCAAGCGGAGGTGGCACCACTGTTTCGCTCAATACAAGTGAAAGTGTATCGGAACATTTTTGGTTGGAAAAAAATAATCACCAAAGAAAGTCTACTACATTGACCCCAATAACCACTAACAGCTGTAGAAGGTCACATAATTGCGATCATAAGCACGTTCCCTTTTTGCCATGTAAGGTACCAATAGTGACTTTATTGAAGAAATAAAAATATAAATTCTTATCTAATAAAGCAGGGCTCGTTTCAGCCAATGTGATACACAATCATTTCATTGAAGGGGTTACCAAAATTCAATTTCTGAGTGGTTATCTGTCTTTTCAAGCTTCACATCTGAGAGTGGAGTGCAATAGCGTTTCGGGCTCCATTCCCGTCACCTTCTCATCCACTTGCAATTCTTTGCTTCTTGGTGTACACCTCAACTGTTCCGTGGGAAAAGGAATATCATTGGCATGACATTTGGCATCACAAACTCTTTTACGATGCCTCCTGCAAGCACAGTTGCTAAGTGCCCCCTATGCCATATTTGATCATTTTGTGAAGTAGCTAAAAGCCCACTATACTCTGTTTCATACATCATCTGTAACGCTGTGGCGTCTCGCGAGACTTCTTGCAGTAGATGCGATTGCAACAAAAATTAGTTCAATGTTCCTGCCACAAATAACAGAACTTCTTATTTGTTATTATGATGAGAAGTTATTGAAGATATCCTGTGCTTTACAAACAAAAATGCTGTTAAACATCTGTTGTTATGCAGCTAGATAGTCTAGTTTCCATGTGACATCACGCACAGGCTCTCAGTGGGGGTTGCATCATGTGACGATGGCAGCCACATAGACTTTCTATCTGTGAGACAGTGACAGTGCAGGGGAGGACACTACAGAGTCGTTAGGTTCCCGCATTCTTTTGTGCTCTACCCGCTTTCTTCTGGTCACCAGTCGCACCAAGGAGAAAAGCTAAGAAATGTGATGGTGCACCGGCTGTCACGCAAGCGACCACGGGACAGCACGGAGTTATACGTTTTGCTGGAGGAACTACCTGCAGCGCTTCCACAGCATTGCACCTGATGTGTGAAACGTAGTATACATGTCTATAAGGCAATACCATGTGCACCTATGTAACTGCACACCTTGCTGGTGCTGTGGCTGATGATGATGATAAATTATGAGCTCTCAGTAATGAATGGGCAGCTTTAAAAAATGTTGAATATGCACTTTGAAGCAAACAGAATGTCTACACTAGCAGTGATGCTGGCATCCTAGCAGTATGGCAACAGAGAGTTCAATTTTTTCTATCCTAAAATATTCTAGAGTAAAGATAATTCCTAGAATACTCTGTTACAATTAGAAATCTATACTAGCCTTGCAATGTTTCCCACAGAACCTGATGAAAGGCTACTTAAAGAAAACACCCTTAATGCAATGCAATCTGAATATCTCACGTCTCTGGCACTTTAACTGCAAATATATGCCAGAGCTATGTCAATGTACAATAAGAATACGCGGCTGAAACAATGCCAGTCCGCTGCAATGAAAAGTCAGGCATATCTCTACAGAGATTGTGCCAAAAGGCACAATTTTCAAATGCTCTACATTCAGGTTTTCATTTAACACTGTAATGCACAATACAACGAATGCTTTTCGAGAGGGTGCACATGCTACTGAAGGTTACATAAATATGAATCCTGACAAACCACAACGGTGTCATAATATTAATTGTTGGGGTTCGACATCCCGAAACCATGCTATGATTATGAGATGCTGTATAGTGGAGGGCTCTGTAAATTTTGGTCATCTGGTGTTCTTTTAACGTGTACTGAAATCACAGAGTACATAAGCATAGAGCTCGTATCATACAACTAACAATTCATTTATATGATGTAACACCCCTTTGGCAATCAATGGCAGTGGCTGATACTAGCTCAAGGCTGAAGTTAGGAGACATGCACTAACATGCAAGACAGTGAATGAGTGTTGCATAGCTAACCGCCACCTGTTATAGCTCGGCTGGTGGGAAACCACATACATCCCGCAGAAGAGGTGGACGTTCGACCTGCGTGCGACAAGCTGCCCATTCGTTCACTGCCATTCTTTTTTATTATTCTATGACCTTTAATAGAAAGATTATGGATACATTTTATTTACTTTCTTTGACTTCATTGTATGATGGCTTCATTTTTATGCCACAAACCAAGGGACCTGAGTTGCCTCAGTTTTCTATGCTCTAGTCACTCTGCACTATTTTGTCGTGTCATAAAATTCAATAGTTAACATTTTTTTACACCTCAAGGGAAAGCTAATAGAGTATGAATACACTGGATACTCCTAGCAGGTCAAAGGATCATTGTAAACAGTAACATCGTGCATCATCAGAAAACTAACTGACAGGTCTGAACCCTCAGCAAAACTCACTAAAGCTACCATCGTTGACCAAAAGACACTCACCTGACCACTTCAAAGACCTTGATGGGTATAAGCACTTCCTTGATGTACAATTCCATAATGCCATTGATGACGGCCATGTGAGCACTCTGTAAAACAATAAGAGCAGCTCTGAGAATAGGCCATAAACAAGTATCATAAGCTAGTAGCTTTGCCTAAATATTTGTCTGAACAACAGATGAGCCTCATGTGAAATACCATACTGCATGAACAGAATCTGTCAATGACTTTTTTATCTGTGCTAAGGACACTACATTGTGAAGCAACTTTATTTTCTCTTCCTGAACCCTTAGCACTATTTCATATTTTTTTATATATAGCTATTTTGCAATGAAGCAATCGGTGATTTAAAAAAGCCACTAAAGCTTAATGAATGGTACAAAAAGATCAAGTCAGTTTACATGGATAAAGCATATTTCTAACTCCATAGTGTATTTTTTCTCATTTTGCAATAACGATATTCTAATTATGACAGAAAATATAGCCACAACACTTTCCAACGTCGTCCCAGGAAAACACAGATCGCATAGACTTCATGGATTGTCATGTTGCGGCCCATTAAAAGCCCTTTAAACCTGAAAAGTTCAGTTTTTTAACTTTTTGTAACTACACAATGCTAACTATATTTACCAAGGAAAAATGGTACATGGCCAAGCAGATGCCCACATGAGTCACCTGAGATTAGTTGCATGAATTGCATCTCTAAAACTTGACTAGTTAAAAGATTCAGTGCTGTGGCTCACTGTGACTGGAAGTGAAACCCACATTAAAGAAATTATAAAAATTAAAAACATGACGCCGTGCTTAAATACATCAGTTAATGATACAAAGGACATGCACTACCTGTCCACGTGGCTTTTTAAAAACACTCAAAATTGGTTCAGAATCCACTTAAGTTTCTCCTTATTACTCAAAAGCATCTTTAGTGATAGCATTCATTCTTCATTATTGAAATTGAATTCTATCATGCTTATAAAAAGCTGAAGACTGAATTTGGGCGAATTCAAGGGAATTCATTATTACAGAAGGGCTATTTACTAACAAAGCTGAAACTTATTTCAGGTTAATGTCCCTCATGAACTGTAGATGTACCTACTGCAGCCTGTCACTCAATTAACATGCAAGCTATTTACCATGCGCAGCGGAGCAGTCTGGGCGAGCACGGTCTCGGTGAGGGGGGTATGGTCGGCGGGTGGCTCAACATCAACACCCTTGCGCTGCAGTGCCTGCACAACACCCTGGTGGCTGAGGCTGTGGTAGTTGGGGTCGGCGTAGATGTTGGCCAATGCCAGGCAATATAACTCGCCACTGGCCAGCGCTTGCACGAGCTGCGGCCGCAGTCGGTCTTGTTCGGCCTGGTCCCGGTAGAACACCTCGCGCAGCTCGGGGGGCACCCGGTTCTGGTGTGCCTTGGACACCAACCATAGCACTGAGGCCCGCTGTTTGGCCTGCATGCATGCACAGATATCACATATTAAATATTGTGGCACTCGAGGCCTCATTTTCAACTATCTGGGGAGAGATAGATGAAGTGTCGAAGTCATAAACGGAAGGAAGGCAGAGAAATTAACAAGGCAGAGTACCGGTTACAATAGAAAACTGAGATAGCTGGCACAGGTTAAGGCTTATGACTATGCAACGCTAACCAAAAACAGACAAAACAAGTGCACATATGTATATGCTGTGTACACTTTTCTCGTCCTTCAGTCTTCTCTTGCGAGTGCTGCAGAGTCCTGATTAAGTCTCGCTGACTGCACTGCCTTGAGCAAGTGGAAAGGAGACTAAGAAATTAGAAAGGTATAATACACATGCACACACACGTATGCACATACGCACTCACTGTTGGTACCTTTCAAAAGGCTCTTTAATCATTGCCAATCACAAGTACATCAAACCATGGCACCAACGTGCTATCTTTTGTTAGGAGCCTGTTATCTAAGTGTGGAATTCAATTGCCTGCTCCTTCATTTGCATGCAGTGTCACGGTTATTCTCCCTCTGAACACTCAACAACTGCGAAGTGTTGGTTTATTTGTCAATACCTTGGTTAAATTGTGAAGAGTGCATTGCGAACATTGGTTAGTTGGTGGAAAACTTGTAATCATCATCTGCAAGCGTTGGCAGAGCCAGATGCTACACACCTGCCTGCATAGGTCTAGAACACCTAGGATTTTCGATATTTTGAAATAAATAACACAAGAAAACCAGCTTTTTTTTTTTTTTACTGCCAGTAGCAATTACAGGCGTACGAAAGACTCTTTTCTTACTTCTTTCAACTTCTGTTTCGATTTCCGGGCACTGAGCGCGCCTTGCTGGCAAGCGGCTATACGCAAAAACATCAAACATTTCCTAAAGGATAGGCCGCCCTGCCGCAGACGGTCGCAGTTCGCTACTTGCTTCCGCCGACTTCCAGACCCACAGCTCTCCACACAAGAGACGGCAGCAGCCGACTGCCCCGTTTTTTCTTCTGCTGCGGTGCGCGGGGGGACACCCGTGGCGGAATCGGGGTGCATCGCCGGCCGCTCGACCATGGTAAGTGCGTGCATGAAAATCGTTTCATTAGGGAAGGAGAGGATCAGCGCGCCGCCAGCTGGTCGGCCCCACGCAGCGCGCCCATTGAGGGATTTTTGCGCGCCGTGTTTTCTTCGGAGGCCTCCTTCTTCTTCTCGGCGGGTGCGGCCAAAGCGAGCGTCGGCCGCGGCGCGCCCACGGCACGACCCACGTGTCGGCGGCCTTGGACGAGGAACGCTCGCGACTTGCAGCAGCGCGACGTAACGAATGCCGCTGGAGGCGGCGTTCGCGGGGCTGCAGCCGCCCGACGCCCCCACGAACACGGCGCACCTTCGTTTTCGCGCTCGCCCGACGAGCAGTCTCTCAAAAGAGTTCGGTACTGGATCTCCGTCGGTCCCAGCAGTATCGTAGCCAGAATTTTTTTCTCTCTTCTTGGGGGGGGAGAGTGAGGTTGTGGAGGAGTTTCAACAATGTTTCATGTATGTTCGTTCGTGCTTGCGTGTAGACACGCGAGTAAGGAAAAGCGCTAAACGTTTGTTGAGCAAAACAGTTTCGCGGTGCAAGTCTCGCTTCCAAACTAGGTGGGAGGTCCCCCCCTCATTACAGAAACCCTGCGGCCTCCGCTGCTTCCTTGGGAAGTGTGGCAGCTTGGGGCTAGTTGGTATGGCATGACGATAGTTATAGCGCGAGAACAAAACGACGACACAGAGACGAGAAGGACACGAGCTGGAAGTTAGCGCTCGTGTCCTTCGCGTCTCCGTGTCGTCGTTTTGTTCTCGCGCTATTACTATCGTCATGCTTCCTTGGCCCTGGCGACGAGACGTTTTCGATTGAACACTTGCAAAATCGCATAGTTTCTGGGGAAGGGAGGGAGGCAACTCCTACTGGCTGCGCCTAATAAGTGTCCGAACAACAAACGACAGATTTCCAGCAACCCCACACGCGCAACGACGCGATAAGGCACTTTCGGGAGGGGAGGGGGCGGGTATGTGTTAAACACACACACCACACACACAAAGTGTCTAAAGACACTTTTAGTTTCTTCTAGTGCAGTAGTAGTAGACATTAATGCACGCGGAGGTCGATACGAATGGTGGTAGGGCTCCTCCTACCTACTTCATTTAAACGTGGACGCCAATTCTGTCCAGTACCTAGTCAGTCAATCACTTCCGAGTCATTTTCAGTGCGCAGGGTTATTACATCCGCTGCAGTGGAACAGTGGTTTACGCACTCGGCTGCTGACCTGAAGTTCGCTGATTCGATCTCGGCCACGGCGGTCATAAAATTTCGCTGCGAAATGGTAGAAGCCCGTGCATTTTAGCGCACGTTAAATAACGCCAGGTGATCGAAATTTTCGGAGTCTTCCACTATGGCGTCCCTCATATGGCGTGTCTGCGCCATATGAACGCAGCGTCCAGCATCTCTGCGAACGCAGCGTCCCAGCCATTTCCTATGGCAGGCTGCGTACGCAGAGCTGCTGCGAACGCTCAACTAAATATGTCTATTATTAATGCACAGGGTTGTGGCTACGCATGTTTTGGACGATAACGGCGACCAAGCACCCCGCGACGTTCAGTTCAAAGACCTGTTTACTTCCAACACTTAGCCCGAAAAGCGAGTGGCACAAATGACAGGCTTTTACGAGAGGCGCGTCATCGCTTCATTTTCGCATCCATGGCGCAGCTCGTCTTCCTTCGGACATCGACGAAAAGGACGGAGAGGAGGTGCGGCGAAACTTGCCCCTCCTTTTAATGGAGAGCCCTGCACACGCCTATGGTAGTATAGTAGTTCGAGAAACATTCGGGCGAAGATTTATAGGTTATCGAGAATGGGCCGGCTGGATCACGATCTCCTCGTTCACGGTACATTGATCGATCAGGTATAGATTACACACACTATACCCGGTCAGCGTTCCGCTGGGACGCATCATTCTTCTACGGCGAAAAAGAGATGGAGAGCTGAACGCACACGTTTCCTTCGCAGCGTATACGCGTCAAACTGCGGTATCTCGCCGTAGCAAGAGTTAGCGTCGCTGACAAGGACAACAAGCGAAAGACGGCGTAAACGCTGACCACCAAATTGAAAGGTCGCATTACTGTGGCGGACACCAGCGAAAGGAAACTGACAACTTCGAACTCTGATACACGTCTGTTGATAGTCGCTGTTTGCATGCGTTGTCTGCTTCCGTTTACCCCGCGTTTCTGTGTGCGCACTAAAACTTTTTTTTTTCTAGCGATGAATTCCTGTTAATATAAGAATGGATGGATCGAAAGTCTTTTATTGAAAAAAGAAAAAAAAAAGAAGGGCACAGGACCTCTGAGGGGATAAGCAGGACTTTCTGACTACACCACTAGTTCCCAGTGTCACGGGTTTCACACTTATTGTATTCACCATCACTGGTACTGAGGCGGCATAGGGTCAGTACTGTGGTTTGTCGGACCCCCTAAACTACTCTGATCAGGCCGCTCTGACTTCCATATTGGGCAAATAATAACTGCGTGTCCGGGTCCGTAAGATTGCGCACAAAAGTGCTGCCCCCCCCCCCCCACCCACCCTCCTTCGAGCAAGCTTTCGACACTGATGGCGGCCGAGGACCATCGATTCCACATTCCAAGAACTGTTTACTTCGTATCTATACATTTACCGTCAACTATAGCTAAACTTAGATCTTCAGAATGTCTCATTATCCGATTCAGAGCATTCGCGAAGTTCTCGCAGCACATCGATCCACAGCAAAAAAACTTGCGCCTCGTTAAGTGCGGGGGGCAGCAGTTGCCTCTTTATCAGGCTCGTACATGACACGTAGTGAGAATAAAAAACTCCCAAGCATTTCCCCGAGGGTAAAGTGCGAATACACGGGGTGATGCTATGAGGGGTATTTATTAATTCGCACTATTATATTTATTAATCACACTATGGTGCCTTTATGGTGTAATGGTTCCTGGGAATCGCAATTTGATCACACGGGGGAGTTTACGTTAACTCACTGGCGAATGCCAACAAATTTTAACTTTACTCCCCCTCACGACCCGCTCTCGACGGGAGACTGAGAGAAGGCGGGCGCGCGAGAGAGAGGGGTGCGCGCGCAGCTGCAGCGAGCGAGGAGAGCGGAGGAGCGAGCGAAGGGGGAGGGGGTATAAGGCGCGTTACTGATACCGATATCAGCGTCGCGTCCGTGGCTTATTCGGTAGAGCGTCGCGCTGCGGCCCGCCAAGTCCTCTTTCTTTTAAAGATAGAGAGAAGACTGCGGACGCCGCCGACGGCGGTGGATGGTTTGGGGTCGCTTATAAAGTGTATTCACACTTAAAAAAAAAAACTATCAACAGCGATTTTCGCGTCAGGGGTGCGGGTTTGTACAGTTCCTGTCGCATGTACGGCCGCCGGTACGCGTCGTACTAGCGATCTTGCGCAATCTATTCAACATGTTCCCGAACGCTTACACATGCCCCAAGCAATCAGAAAAAGACTTGGCGTCTGTGAGACACCAAGGCATTTTGGCGCCTTCCTCTGGGCTCTTGCGTCAGGCCCGAAGCCATGACTTATGCAAGAATATTTTGTCGCCTGGAAAAGGCTGCTCATCCGCACCAATGTATCGAGCGATGTAATTGAGCCTCTGACCTTGCCCGTGAGAAATACAAACAATTATGGCTCGGACAGCTAGAACTCTATATTGTCTTCGCTGAGAAAAAGAAGTTCTTTTTTTTTTTACTATTTTTCTTGTGAGTGCTGACTTACCGCGCATTTGACTCTCTTTAAAGAGACTATTGAACACTGCGGAGATCATTATACTCTCTTTGAAGAGTCATGGGACCCAAAAAAGAGTTTACGGGTCTCCTTAAAGGGAGTCATTTACGCCGCAAGTCGAGACTCGCCGAAAAGAGTAACATACACACTATTTTTCTTGGTGTTCATCGGAGCCGAAAACGACACTTAGTCAG